TCAGAACTTCCCGCCAGAGCGGAACAGATCTGGACGTTGGACGCGCGCTGACCGGAAACACATCGGTATCATGACATCATAACACACCAACAGAGTCTTCAGTGTGCTAATGCTAAACCACACAGCTGAGCAGAACCTTAAGGGTTAAAGGACCAAATCTGCACTTTCCTGGATGTCCATGAGCGCATGTGTTCAGAAGATGAAAATGACTGACATCCGTCACTCATATGCGCTCAGAGGGTCGTGTGTGTGTGTGTGTGTGTGTGTGTGTGTGTTCTGCGCATGCGCTGCAGTGATGACACTGTCGGCTGTCTCCATCTGCTGGTGACTGAAGGAAACACCACAGCTGATCTCTGGGTAATACTAGAGGTTTACAAAAGTTATTTTGTAAGGTTTACATTATTATTATTATTATTAAAACAACAGGAATATATTGAAAAACAAATCAATCGAAATGAAAGTCTCCTCTTTCTTTCAGTGTTTAATTTTGCTCTGTAGGCCTAGTGTTTCAGTTGAGTTGGTGTAAGACTTTTATCATGAAGAATAAACTCGTTGTTTTGTCCTGAAACACACACACATTGTCTGTTTGAATTATAGCTGTTGCTTTTGTATATTTCAGATCATACTTAACAATTACGTCGAAGCATTTTGTTTTTCGCATTGAAACAATCAAACAAATTCATATGTATTAAACATTTTTTTGTACAAAATGTATTGTAGCCTAATATAAAATACTTTATCAAATCTAAAATAAAAATAAAAAGTCGCTTGTTTAAAGCAAACAGAAAGCGCTTTGAGATCTTTAAAGGATAATTCCGGTATTTAACACTTTGAGTCTATTTTCTAGTTTGTTAACACCACTAACCACTCGGTGAGTTGCACAGTTTTGAAAACGAACGTTAAGGGTTGTTTTAAGGACATGTTTGAGTATGCCCATAGACATCCACTCTGAAGCGGTCAGAGGCGATTCTAAAATAGTCAAAAAGTCGAGACAGGACCCATCGTCAAAATTTCTAAGTCCACCACTCTAGTTCATCCAAAACAAACTAGAAAATAGACTCAAAGTGTTAAATACCGGAATTATCCTTTAAACAGGTGTAAAACAATAAAATCTCTAATTTGATATTAAATGCTGAACCGAAAAACAGAGTCATAAAGGAATAAAGTAACTATAATATCATCATCAGATGCTGAAGGCGGAAATTAATATAAATGTTTTTTTAAGTGAATCGAAAGTGTTTTTTACGAACGCCCGCTCGACACGTCACATCCGCGTTGCTGTTGGCGCGCTTTTGCTGTTTGAAGTTTGAGCTGTTAGAAAGTCACACACACACACACACACACACACACACACAGTCAGAGAAGTGCAGCGATGGAGCGCGTGAACACGAGCAGTTTAAGAGGATTCCTGAGATCTTGCGAAGATCTTAATAAGAAGACTAGCTATTCATTACAGAAGAAACTCAACAAGCTCTTGAGCAGGTGATGTTATGCGATGTGTGTGTTGTGTGGTTGATGAACTGTGAGGGAGTGATGCAATATCCAGAGCTTGAATTGTAAAAAAAAAACTATTTTGTGGTTGTTGTGTTCATGTAGCCTACCTTAAACATTTTTATATTTTGGATTAAAGAATAGAAAAAAATAGGCATTTAATGAATAAATATTTTATATTTTTATATCATTGAAGTACTGAGCACCTGACACTCTCTCTCTCACTCGCATATGGGCACACAATCCCTGGTTGCCAAACTATCTAAAATGATGCCTCCACGAAGGGCACTGATGTTTTTAATCATTATCAACACATTTTTTAATAAAAATAACTATAAATGTGTTCCAAATTACTCTTATTTTTGAGCCCCACACTTTTAAGCGCTTCAAAGTTCTACCTAGAGCAGGCCCGGAGCCAGACACTGTAAACATGTGGGTCATGTGGGTCTTAGCCCAAATGTAGTTAGCCCAAGGGCATTTTAATGTGGCGTAACAGCTTTACTGACCTAAAAGGAACTTTGTTGTTCTTGTCTAGCCTTAATTTACTGAAGGCTATGGATGTTAGGTAAATATGTTTATTAAATTCATTCACAATACACATTCATGATTAATCGTATGCCTAATATGATGAAAATGTCTCTGGTATTTGTTTCTTCTCCTCTCACATTAAATCACATAAATTATATAGGCCTATTTTAAGTACAAATTGGTGAAATTAGAAATAAGTTGGTTAGTTTGCCTGATTATTTTTATCGTTGTTTAACATTTCTCAAAACAGCTGTTAAATATGAAGTGTTTAGTTTAGCTACTTGCACCTTATCTCGCACTTTATGACCGTTATCAACTGGAATTCGCTCTCAGCGGCTCCTGTGAACATAAAGCCGGCCTACTTTGATTTGATTGGTCATTTCAAACATTTTGACATTGGTGAACGGTGACAGACCAAAGACAGCTCAGATGAGAAGATTTTGGTGCTGTGCAATAAATAAATACCTTTGCAATCGATCCAAATGATAGAATGCAGGTTAGATTAGGGAAAATACTCATCCAGTACGGTTTCGTTTAACGATCTCACAGATGCCGTGTTTTACTGAGAGAAAACGCTATAAACTAGGGGTGTCCAAACTCGGTCCTGGAGGGCCACTGTCCTGCAGAGTTCAGCCCAAACTCGCCTCAACACTCCTGTCTGGATGTGTGTAGTAAGACCTTGATTAGCTGGTTCAGGAGTGTTTAGGTGGGGTTGTAGCTGAACTCTGCAGGACAGTGGCCCTCCAGGAGCAGGACTGGACACCCAAACGATTCAGTACAACTGTCTGAATCATTCAGACTGATTCACAAACCATTTACCATTCATCAACCAATTCAACATTGATTTAACTCTTGTTTTTCCTGCTGTGAGCCTGTTGGATCAGTCCATCATGAGCTCTATCGCCTGCAGCATCAGCCGATTCATTGACTTTGAACTGGTGTGTTAAATATACAAAGAATATTGTTATTTCTAGCTGTCTTTCTCCGTTTGACTGTGGTTGCCATATTTATGAGCTTATCTGGCCTTTGAAAAAGTGACTGTTTGAACTCTCGTGTATGCTAAATGAAAACAGGTGAACAGGTGTATCTAACCCTAACAACTAATGACCAACTTTATTTTGGATATCATTTTTGCTATTGTACATACATCTTATTCTTCTAACTGTTTGTCTTTGCTTAACACAGCCGGAGAAGAACAACAGGGAGGTTGAAAGACACAGTAAAGAAACTAAAGAAAACATATGGAAAGAAAAAAGCATTAAAAAGGATCAAGTCCACAGTGAAAGAAATTGAAAAAAAGCATATCACAAGTAGGAAAAGATTTATTTACTTTCTTAGTTGCCAATATGTTTCTCAATCTTCAATTATAATATGTACATGGTATGGTTTTGGTTGTGCATTTAATTGTTAATTTTTTCAAACAGATTCTGGAAACATGCCATCTCAACAGCCTAACAACCTTCCACAACGACACCATCATCATAATAATAATAATAATAATAATTCTACATCACTCGGGCAACCATCAATTCAGAACCCTGATCAGCATAACTTTACAATTAAACAGGAAAACGGTGGGTTAATAGTTGCTCCAAACATTGTAGGAAACAATGCTCATGATGTTAACATAAATGTGGTGAGTGTCTGATCATTTAAGAAACAGTTGCTCATTTAAGAAATGGTTTGTGTATGTTATATATATTTATGTATGAGTATTTTTTGTTTTGTTTTTCAGGCTATGGTGTCTCCCTCTTCCACAGTAAACAAAAATGGTAAGATATCTAGTTGTAGAACACAGTGCATTCATAAGCGTGATGATCCTGTTAGTAAAATGACTTTCCAACTTTGTCCTGATTTTTAGAAATTCTTCAGAATGTGAGGAATAAGATGAAATCAAGAATGCTGCGTGACGCTGAGAGGACCTTTGAGGGAAGTGCACCACAGTCGGTCTCTCTAAACCGGATCTACACTGAACTGTTTATCATCGATGACGAGTCTGACCCCATCAATAGAGAACATGAGATCTGGCAGATCGAGACGACACATGATTTAAACGCATCAGCTCAGAGACACATAAACTACAATCAAATCCTTCAGCCACCCATAAATGAAAATATAACCATGAAGACCGTTTTAACTAAAGGAATTGCTGGAATTGGGAAAACAATCACCGTACAGAAGTTTGTCCATGACTGGGCGAGCGGAGAAGCCAATCAAGATCTAGATCTTGTGTTTCTGCTGCCGTTCCGAGATCTGAACTTGCTTGAAGGAGAAAAGAGTCTATTTGACTTCCTTTGTGACTTTTCCCCCGAGTTTAAAGAGGCGAGACAGATCTCTGAATGGATCTGTGATGGGAAGGTTCTGTTCATCTTAGATGGTCTGGATGAATATAAAAAGGATTTGAACTTTCAAAGCAGCCTTCTGTCAGATGTAACTAAAGAAGCCACTGTGGATGTCCTTCTAGTAAACCTTCTACTAGGAAAACTGCTTCCATCCGCTCGCCTGTGGATCACCAGCCGGCCAGTGGCAGCTGGACAGCTTCCGAGGGAGATCTTCTTACATGGATACATCACACAGATCAGAGGATTCAGAGACGAGCAGAAGGAGGAGTACTTCGAGAGGCACCTTGAGGATCCAAAGCTAACCCAAGACATCATCCGTCACCTGAAGTCTCAAAAGAGCCTGTGGATATTGTGCCACATACCTCTGTTTTGTTGGATTTCAGTGGTTGTTCTTAAAGACATAATTACAAGACAAAATAAAGATTGGATCATGCCCTCAAATCTGACGGAAATGTATATCCACTATCTGCTCATTCAGACCGGGTTGAGCCATGAAAAATATCAAGGGACAGAACTGTCACAACAAGACGCTCTCAAGCGGCACAAAGAACTGATTATGAAACTGGCAGAGCTGGCATACTGGCAGCTGAAGAAACAGAATGTCATCTTCAGAGAAGAAGACTTGATGAGCTGTAAGATCACTGTTGATGAAGCGTATCAATATCCCGGTGTCATTACCCGTGTCACAGAGAACAAATGTGGATATATCAGGACAAAACTTTTCACCTTCATCCATCTCAGTGTCCAGGAATTCTTTGCAGCCTTGTTTGCATTTCACACATTTCTATCAGGAAATCAAGACTCCCTGAATTTAATAACAGCTAAAAAGAGGGAGAAGTCTAATTTGTGTGATTTTCTCAAAGTTGTGATTAATGTGGCCTTGCTAAGTGAAAATGGACACTTGGATCTTTTTATCTGTTTTCTCTTTGGGATTTCTTGCGATTCCAGCAGAGATCTACTTGAAGGACTCCTGCGTCCATCATGGGCCAGTAGTTCAGATGGTCACAAGAAGGTGACCACGTACATCAAGTCTTTGAAGAGGAAAGGTCTGTCCTCTGAGAGATGCATTAGTCTTGTTCGTTGTCTCGTTGAGCTCAAGGACAAGTCATTTTTGCAGGAGATGCGAGATCTCGAACGCTCACGGTCCAAAGAGCCCCTCACACTGTTCCAGTGCACGCTTCTGGCTTACCAGTTTGTAATGTCAGATATGAATCACGATGAGTTTGACCTCAGGAAATACAACATCACTTTAGAAGGGTTTCAGAGATTCTCCCCAGCCACCACATGCTTCAGAAAGGCTCTGTAAGTATTAAGATGCAGTAAATGTCTTTAAAATGTATCATATCATATAATGATTAAAACTGAATGTGCGTTTGAATGTGATACTGACAGTCTCCAAGGAAGCGGATTTACAGAGCAGCACTGTGATATCTTGGCGTGTTACCTAAGGTCACCAAACTCTCACCTGATTCATCTTGATCTGAGTCACAATGATCTGGGAGGGTCCGCTCTGAGCCATCTTTCCACTGCACTCTGTGATCCCAATTGCCAGATTCAGACCCTGAACCTCAGCCACAATGAACTCCAGAGTCATGACATGGAGCTGATCAGGGATGTGCTTTTAGGAGAAAATATTAATCTGAGATGGCTGGAGCTCAGCGACAATCCTCTAGGTGATTCAGGAGTGAAGATACTCTCATCTGGACTGCAGAGCGCGAAATGTCATCTTGCAGTTCTGAAGTAAGTCAAACTAACCAGGGCTCAACGCTAAGAAATTATTCTACTGGCCCAGTGGTTAACATGTTAACTTGGACCCACCACAAATTAATAAAACTATTTTAAGTTATTGTTTTTTGACCCATGTAACCTTGTGTTCTATTATATAAGGTTAAGACATCAAAATGTTAGATACTAGGGAAATTTCAATACCTCAAAATCTACTAGCCTAACTGATATAGATTTCAAACATCATTAAAGACAAGTAAACAGTCAGTAATGAAGTATGAACAAATAGACAATGATAAATAAACACAGAAAAAGGGAGAATATGCTGATCTGAAAGAAAAACTGCTTTTTCTTTATAGACTTTCAGGCTGTCAGATTAAAGGAGGAGGTCATCAGTTGGTGTCGTCTTTGAAAGCCAATTCTTCATCTCTGATAGAGCTGGATCTGCGCTATAATAATCTTGGAAACATCGGACAGGAAACTCTAAAGGATGAGTACCTGTGCTCAGTGAGGTACTGTAGCATGACTTGTGTCCCAAATGGACTTAAACTATGTACTTGTTTAGTGTATGAGTTTTATAAGGTTATGTTGTCATCCAGTATCAGTGTTAAATATTCATGTTTAAAAAAGTTCTTGTATAACAGTGTGGTTCTACTCTTAACAGTCTTCTCTGACTAGAACTTCCACTGGAGGAGTCTGCGGTCACCAACCAGGACTCTACAAATGTGAGTTTAAACATGCTCATTAATGTTTTCAAATCAATATCAAGATTGTAGGTTAAAATTTGACATGTATTTGTAGATGCTGTAACTACTTTACCGGTTTTAAAACCTTTTCTATTTCATTTTAAAAGGTTTGTAGACATGCAGATATTTCATGTGTTTCTCTAAATTAAAATGAGGTCAGAAAAACCTGCCAGTGTAATTGTGAATGAATTATTCCATCCTCAAATGATTTTTAAAAAGCATTTTACGCCCCGTATAGATCAAAGGACTTAACATGGAAGAAAAAAGAAAAAAAACGATAAAATGTTTGTCCTTTGACCTAGACATGGCATAACATGAAATTGGGGGCTCGTCCGGGATAAAAAACAAGCACGTTCCAGAACAGAATAAAACATAGAAACAGACCAAAAGGGATGTAACGCATGACTTCCCAGAAATACATCATGTCCTCTACCCACATGCATATGCTGACGGGAACCGCTTGATAATTGTTGATGCTAATCTAATAAATCTGTTTTTAGATGCCGTTCCGCTCACCTTTGACCCTCAGACGGCTAATGAACACCTCCATCTGAACGAGAACAACACTGTGGCCACTCGTCAGAGGCAGAAACTGCAGTTTCCAGATAATGCCGAGAGATTTGACAAGTGCAACCAGGTCCTGTGCCGCCCGGCGCTGTCAGAGCGCTGCTTCTTTACGGTGGATGTGATTGGGCCAGACATGCACGTGGGCGTGGCCTGTGAGGGAATTGAGAGGAAGGGAGCGAGTGATCGAGTACGCCTGGGACGCAATAAGATGTCATGGAGTTTACATTGCTCAGATAGAGTATGTGAGGCTCATCACAACCAGAAAACTGTATCAGTTAAAGCAGAGTCCTTAAGGAAACTCGGCGTGTTCCTGGACCGGGAGGCTGGTTCTGTTTGCTTCTACAGTTTGAGCCCACAGATGAAACTCTTGTACATGTTTGATGCAGATTTCCCTGAGGACCAGGACCTTTTCGCTGCATTCAGGATTCAGGAGCCAGGCTGTTCAGTCAACTTAAGACAAGAATCTCTGTAACTATATCTAGAATGACCTACAATATTCACCTGCCAGACCTGAAGCCAACCACTCAAAACCAGCGGCAAGTGTTTAAACTTTTGATGAACACTAAGTTTATTTCTGCTGGAGAATCAGATGTTTAGAGTATTGTTTAATATATGACAATTACTGTAATCATGTACTGTATCATTTTCATGTGTTTTCACTGAGAACTGTTTGTTTCTAAGCCAAACCAGTTTCATTTAATTCCAAATAAAGACATGAATTAAATTGAGTCAGGTTTCTATTTATTGGACTGATTCTTCTAATCTATTCTAATATGTTACCCTGGACCAGGAAACCAGTCACACGTCGCACGGGTATATTTGTGGCAATAACCAACAATACATTGTATGGGTCAAAATAATCGATTTTTCTTTTATGCCAAAAATCATTAGGATATTAAGTAAAGATCCTCCGCCGACATGGCCTCCTCTTCCACTGCTATACGTATGACACCCAACTCCATCTCTCCTCAAAGACCATCACAGCCTCCAGCCACTCAACCCTTACAACCGGCCTCACTGACATTAAATCATGGATGCATGGATAAATCAGAGATTATCATAATTGGTCCAAACTCCCTCACCCGACATGCCCAGACCTTTTCCCTCAACATATAACATTAGCCCTATAAAAAATAAATCTATTATTAAAGATAATTTTCCATGAAGATATCTAATAAACTTCCTATTTTTGTGAGTGAATGCAACAAAATTGCGAACATAAATGGACAACTTTAAAGGCGGTTTTCTCAATGTTTCGATTTTTTTGCAGATTTTCAAATAGTTGTATCTCGGCCAAATATGGTCTTGTCCTAACAAACCATACATCAATGGAAAGCTTATTTATTCAGCAGGTGATGAATAAATCTCAATTTCGAAAAATTTACCCATGTGACTGGTTTTGTGCTCCAGGGTCACATATGCTTAATATATTAATAATCCTACAGAAGTTTATGTATGTTTGTATTCATTTAACTAGCTACTTTATATGCACAGATCTCATCTTTGCAACAGCATCAAATGTTACGAGGATTTGAAGAAGTCCGTACGAGTCTTTCACTGGGTCGCGTTGGGTGGCGTTTGCAGTCGTAGGTTGTTAAAACGGGCTGAGCCTCGTTTATTCTGCGGTGAAGCGTCACTGTAAACGAGTCACATTAAAAACACACAGCAGTGTTGAATAATGAGTGTATGAGTGAAGATCTGCAGTCACCAGTAGAGGACGCCACCACTACCAACATAACCACTGTTCAAGACATCAAATGGAACAATCATTCATTTTAAGTGCTACTTATACAAATGACTTAAAGAAGAAAGGCTGGTTATTGCATCTGTGGCTCCATTAATAGTCTGCATCACTTTTAAGACCCCTCGTCTGCGGTGGCTTATAAATGAGTCATTGAGTTTGAAGTGTGATGTCAGTCTGCTTCTGTTTCTCTGACTATCGCACACGTCTCGTGCCGTTATGAAAGGGTTTGAGATGGAAACATGTAGGACGTGACCCGTGAGCATCTGCTCTTCGCTGGAGAGAATACGTGTTCTTTTCTCTCACACTCATTTTGGGTGTGGACGCGTGCCAGCTCAATCACAGCACAAACACACTGAGCTGATGAAACATCATAAACCCACACATATAGATCAGAGATCGTGTTCTCAGGGGGTTCAGGGAGTCGCCGCCCAGCCAACATGAACGTTTTGCTAACATTCTCATTAAGTTATGAAAACTTAAATACTTGAAAAAAAAAAAAACATTTTTATTGGATATGTGAACATTAAGGAAACGTATCATTCTTCAAACATTATGGGAATGTTACTTTTTAATGTAACATTTAAAAAACAGATGAAAGTCCAACTGAAATGTTTCAGGAAAATGTTCCATGAACGATGTATAAATAATGTTTTGAGAACATTATTAAAGACCAGATAAGTTTGAGTTAATGTTCTGTTAATTTTACTGGAAGAACGTTTCATCATAACTCTGAGAGAACCTTAACTCAAGGTTGCTAAAAAATGCTGGGTTGTTTTAATCCAATTTTGGGTCAAATATGGACAAACCCAAACGTTGGGTTAAAAATTTAACTTAACAGCTGGGTTTGTCCATATTTGACCCAAAGTTGGGTTGAAACAACATTCCCAATGTGTTTTTGTGTTTCCCAGGTGTTTTCCTGTACGGTGTGTTCGGCTCCTTTACGTCTCTGATCTTCTGACCTCCATCAATGTGTCTTCAGTAAGTGAAAAACATGTCAAAATTAATTCTGAAATGGTGCTGCGTGTCGAGTTGATGTGATTCAGAGTGAGTGTGTCTCTTTAAAAGTGCACTTTATGAAACAAAAAATCGCTTGACTTTACATAAACCAGAAGAAAAAAAGAGAGAGAGAGAGAGAGAGAGAGGGAGAGGGAGAGAGAGAGAGAGAGAGAGAGAGGCAGCTTGTGGTCAGAGGTTTAACTCTCTCTCTCCGTCTCACACACTCTCAGTCGTTCTCCTGCTCTCGTCTGCTCGGACAGGTGAGTGTAAAGCCTCTCATTCCTCTAATGATCACAGGGATTCACAGATATGAAGTTCTTTAGATGATTCTGTGTGTTTGTCAGCTGTTTCTCTGATAGTTTTCTCTCATCTCTCTGTCTCTCAGTTTTTATTGGATTTACTAGGATGATTAATAGTCTATTTGTGCATCAAAATCTCTCACTCTTTTTAAAGTTGAAGAGACAGTTCAGCCAAAAATGATTATTCTGTCATCATTCACTCACCTCATGACTTTCTTTCTTCTGCTGAACACAAAGATAATTTGAAGAATATTGGGCATCAAGCAACACTATCCATTAACTTTCAACGTATATAAAAAAAAAGAAAGTCAGACATGTCTCAACATCTTCTAAATGAAGACAGAAGGTTCTACCACTTTAATTCTCAATCTGCCGTGACCTTTAGAGCCGGAGCGCTGCCGTTCTCAGTGCTAATTATCAGTGTTTCAGTGGAATGTGTGTGTGTGGGTTTATACGCCTGTGGTTTTGTTCTGGTAGCTGATATATAACACACAACACACATCTGTAAATGTGACGATGACGGCCTCTCAGACCACTGATACACACATGCTGTGATTTGATAATAAGTATTGTTTTTAAGTGCTTAAAACAAGAAGAAATATCTGTCAACGGAGTCAGGAAAAATAATCTTAATTCAAAGGAAAAACAAGATTGTTTCTGACCCCACTAACAGATATTTAAACACTTAATTTTTCAGTAACATCTTCAGCCATCTTGCATCTCCAGTAAATGTATGTCTGGTGCTCTTCACGTGTCGGTCAAAAACTGAAATTTATTATTTTATTTCAATGAAATTAATGTACTATATTTTAGTTTCGATAATCTTTTTTTATTTAATATTTTGTATTTTTAGGGGATTTTATGGTAGAAAATAATATTTCCGCTGTTTTTATAATCTATTTATTCACGTTTTGAGCGTAGACCTGAAAATTAAATTTCCAACTCAAACTGTTGTAAATCTTGAACGCTTTGGACCGACAGACTGAAGTTTGACCTCTTTTCAAAGACGGCACTTGGCAGATTATTGCTGAAGTGAAAAAAGTTTTAAAAAGTGAACTTTTAGTTATAGAATTTTACGTTGATTGTTATGAAAAATGTGCAAAAATACTATTTTAAATATACATATTTTACTCTAAAAAAATATATTTTTTACTCTAAAACTGTAAGAAAATCAAAGCCATAACTCTCCACCAGTGTGTTCCGCATGTGAGCTGATCTCTCAGTGAACGAGCGTCAGTGAGAGTGTGTTCGGCTGCAGTTCCACACGCTTCCACCAGAGGAAACTCTCTCAGACCGCAGGAGCACAAGTGTGACTGTTGTTCAGGACCATTCAACCTGTTCAGATCATGGCCATGATATATTTTGCGTTTACACAGCAAGTGCCAAAACCTTTACCAAGTTTCGTACCATTCCGATTTTTTTTTCCTTTTTTTGGAAGAGCGCCGAAGAGCACCAGAGGGTTAAGGATGTTTAGATATTTGTGCTGGAAACCAAGACAAACATACTGAGGAAGAAGCTCATATTTTCAGTGTTGCTCCGGCTCAGGTCCCCAGTGGAGCTGCATTCTTCACTTCTGGTTGAACTGTGCTGTATTTTCACTTCTCTGCTCTGTGTAATCCTGCTGGCAGGTCATTAGCTGGAGAAGGTTGGCTTCTGAACTCATCCGCAGGGATCCGAGATGCTCTTCCAGCTGCTGCTCCTCAGTGTCTTCGCCCCGCTCTGGCTCGCCGCTCCGGGAGTCCAGGTGCGTCTGGTGGGCGGCAGGAGCAAGTTCGAGGGTCGCGTGGAGGTGTTTTATAACGGCGAGTGGGGAACCGTGTGTGACGACGAGGTCAACATCAATCTGGCCAATGTCGTGTGTCGAGAACTGGGCTTTTCTCGCGGACTCACCTGGGCTCACAGCGCAAAGTTCGGCGAGGGTCGCGGTAAGATCAGAGTGCGAGTGACTTCATTCATGTTCCTGTTCTTGTGAATGATTTATCATTGCCGAGAAAAAAGTCATTAGAATCAGGGTTTGAAATGAACTTTTTCACTCACCTGCCAATTTGGCTACTAAATTTTTAAGTTCAGAACTTCTACTAGCCAAAAAAAAAAAAAAAAAGAAAGAAAGAAACCAGATAAACTACGTCACAGCTATATATATATATATATAATAAAATGTCCAAAAATGTATATATAATAAAGAATTTTATTTCATACTGTGAATTTCAGTTTGTGTTTTGATTGGTTCCTGTTTTCCTTTGTTCTTTTCCCGCCACTCCTCTGTTTCTATGGTTACTATCATTAATTTGAAGGAGTTAATTTGTCCTAGCTGTGTATGATTAATTATCTCGTTTCTGTTTGCTATTTAAGATGCACCCTTTCTTTCAGTCTTTGTCCGATCTCCCTGTTGCGTTTATGTGTTTTCCCTGCCTGTCAGCTTGTTCCAGAGTACTGTTATTAAAGTTTGAGTTTGTATCTATAATCGGAGTCTTCAGTCTGTTCCTGAGGAAACCACAGTGTGACAGAAGATCGGACCAACCCAAATGGATGAAGGGGTAATGTTCATCTCCGTGGCTCAGGAGAGCCACAACCTTTTAGAGTTTTCAAGGGAATTCCTCTGGCTCGCCATTTCCAGCTCCCTCGAAAATAACACCCTGAGGACCCTGTTCCAGATCGGGGACTGGGACTGCCCCCCCCCCCCCCCCCCCCCCCTTCACCTCCCAGACACCACAGGGCTGGACTGGAGGGAAACCTGGATTCGGTGTCTGGAGAGTGTTGGGTCCATCTCAGAGTCCATTCCAGAGTCTCGTCCCAAGATGGTTACCCTTCAGTCATGCCAGAGCCTTCTGCCAAGATGGCCACCGCCACGCCAGAGCCCTCTGCCAAGATGGCCACCGCCAGCCCAGAGCCCTTTGTCAAGATGGCCGCCACCACCCCAGAGCCCTCTGCCAAGATGGCCACCGCCACCCCAGAGCCCTTTGTCAAGATGGCCGCCACCACGCCAGAGCCCTCTGCCAAGATGGCCACCGCCACCCCAGAGCCCTCTGCCAAGATGGCCACCGCCACCCCAGAGCCCTTTGTCAAGATGGCCGCCACCACGCCAGAGCCCTCTGCCAAGATGGCCGCCGCTTCTGAGCCCTCTGCCAAGATGGCCGTCGCCGCGCTTGAGTCTCCTGTCCCCGTCCTCGTCCAGAGTCCAGAGGAAGTGGATTTAATAGACTTCGACACTGCAATACCCTGTCTTCCTCCATCATATGTTTTATCTGTCTGCCCGGAACTATCTGTCAGTTCCAAATTCCCACCCAGCCTCCCTCTCCCACCTCCTCCCATAATTTCCTCATCCCCACCTCCGCTGCTTCCTAGTAGCCCCTCAGCTCACCCTCATTCCAACACCAGTGGATCTCACCCGGTCTCCACCTCAGCTTGTTGTTCCACTGACTCCACCTTGTCTCCCACCTCCCTTATTTCCACCGTGGCCCATCAGTCCACCAGCTCTGCCCGGCTCCCTCATCCCTCTGGCTCTGCCTGGGTCATTCGTCGACCTGCCCTTGTCTCAGGACTACACTCCTCCGGCTTCGCCTCGTCCCTTCATCCCTCTGGCTCCATTGGGCTTCTCACTCCCTCCAGCTCCACCGTGGTCCTCTGTCTCTCCGGCTCCACCACGGCCCTCTGGATCCCCACCTCGCCTCGCTCGCCAAAGCCATCGGAATCGCCATGTCCCTCCAAATCCTCAGCATCGCCTTGGCTCATCAGTTCTCCGTCTACACCCTGGTCTCCTCTTCCACCTGCTCCGCCTCCGTCAGTCGGCCCCCTGGAGTCCTCAGCCCTTTCTCCACCATGGCTTCTCCCTCCATTGGCTCCTGGTCTCCTGGGCCGCCAGCCCCGCCCTGGTCCCCTGAACTGCTGCCACTGTCCTGGAGGTGTCCCATTCTGCCGAAGCCACACCCTCGTCGGCCTCCAGGACGCCCTCCCTCCCATCTCTTTTGATGTTTTACGACACGAGGACGCACCATGGAGGAGGGCGGGGTAATGTCACGTGTCAGTGCATGTTTGTACTTTCAGTGTGTGTTTTGATTGGTTCCTGTTTTCCTTTGTTCTTTTCCCGCCATTCCTTCATTTCTATGGTTACTATCATTATGAGTTAATTTGTCCCAGCTACGTATGATTAATTATCTCATCTCTGTTTGCCATTTAAGATGCACTCTTTGTTTCAGTCTTTGTACAATCTCTGTTGTGTTTGCCTGTCAGCTTGTTCCAGAGTACTGTTATTAAAGTTTGAGTTTTGTATCTATAACCAAATGCTTTTTAATCTTCGCTTTTGCTTCAGTGCAAATAAACAAGCACGCCATTATTTGTTGCATAGTGTGTGTGTTCAAGTAAGCCAGATATGAGCAGATTTTACTCAATACAGTGCATTTCATATATCATGATGATTCACGAGTTGAGTATTTGCATTAAATCTGCACAGATTTGGTTTACATGAACTTCCCCAGCAAAGTGAGTAAACCTAATAAGTAACCTGCCAAATTGGCTAGTGATTTGACAGCGTTTCCCGCCACAATTGATTTTTACCCGTATTTGGTGGGTTGGTGGGTGATCATCTCAAACCCTGATTATAATGTAATATAGAACGGATTGAACTGATTCTGAATAATGACACTATTGTCTTCTGTATAGCTTATATTGCTGTCAGTGTTTGAGTGGCTCTCCGTCTGTTCAGGTCCGATCTGGCTGGATAACGTCTCGTGTTCGGGCAGCGAGAGCTCACTGTCGGACTGTCGGTCTAACGGTTGGGGTGTGAGCGACTGCACTCACGCGGAAGATCTGGGCATCATTTGCAGTTCGGACCGTCCCAACCAGGGACACATCCCACGTTACCAAGAATCAAGTCCAGCTTCTCCACCTCAGCCCTCCAGGCTGGTCTCGAATGCTCCCGCCAGATCACCCGCCAGTTCTCCCCACCAGCGTGGCCACGAGATCGGGCTCCAACGCATCAGCCAGGGCCCGTCCTCTCCTCAGATCCACGGACACCAGATTCAGCTGCGCAGGAACGGGCTCGAGAGCACAGCTAACGGCCTGCCACGCGGACACCAGCTGCCGGACTTCCTGCGCAGCCGGGCCTCGTTCAGACGCACACAGGAAGTGACACGCGGTCAGAACACCAGACTTCCTGAGAGACCAGAGCCGGTTCACAGTCCTGAGCCTCAGCACAGTAACAGGATGGATCTGGACTTCACCAACACGGACGAGCAGGTCAGAACTCATCCTTCCCTCGGGTCAGTTTGTCCCGGAATTTTTTTTAAAATTGAGTGTTCATCAGAGGAGTCCAAGACCTCAGGACTTTTGTCGCACTTGAACAACAAATACACAAAAAAAGTTGAATGGATTCAAGGAGTTTAGTGGTTGAAATTTAAAAAAGTAACAAATCCTTCCCTCTCGGGTCAATCTGACCCCCTTGGGAGGCGAGGAATGCTTCAGCACACAGACAAACCTAAAAATGCTCAAGTCAAACTAAAAATGCTAAAGCTTTACCAAAAAATGATTTTTTAATGTCTACATGTGTATCTGAAACTGAAACAAACTGACTTTAGGACCCAGCGGAACAGCTCATTTGCTCCATTTAGAGCTATAAGGCCATCTAGTGGCAAGAGTAATGAAATATCATGTTATATTATTATTTTTCCACAAGAGGTCGGCAAAGACTCCCAATGTAAGATATTTTGAGCTGAATTAAAAGGGTTATGCATGAAATTGTGATTTATTTTGAATTTAAGATGAACGAATATAAGGAATGTGCTTAAATGACTAAATGACTATTTATTTATTATTTATTGATCAAATCTAGTCATTTAAATGTAAATCAAATAAAAAATAACATAAAATCTCCACAAAAAAATGCATTAAAAAATAGAAAAAATATTATCAAAATGAAATAAAATAAGCTTATAGTATAATTTAAGGGTTTCGGGTCATTTTGACCCGCGAGTAAAGGATGAGGGTTAATGTTTCTGAAAGAGCCTCTTCTCACCAAGGCAGCATTTTTTATAAAAAAAATACTGATACTTTTAATACTTAAAAAAAATATATATTTAATATTTGTTTCTCTCTCTCAGTTCACTGCATCGGTCCGGCTGGAGGAAGTGCGTCTCCGGCCCGTACGCGCCGCCACACGAAACTCTGCCATGGTAACAGAGGGCGTGGTGGAGGTGAAGCATGCTGGGAAATGGAGGCAGGTGTGTGAGTGGGGCTGGGACCAGAGCTGCAGTCGTGTGGCGTGTGGCATGCTGGGATTCCCTTCAGCAGGACAGCATGACACACGCGTGTATCGGTGAGTATGTACTGAACTGGCGTGTTCTGATGATTCGTGTTCTAATTCTTTTGCTGATTCGCTATCTGATGATTCGTTTTCTGATGATTCGTGTTCTGATTATTAGTTTTCTGATGATTAGTTTTCTGATGATTCGTGTTCTGATGATTCGTGTGCTGATGATTCGTGTGCTGATTCGTGTTCTGATGATTCGTGTGCTGATTCGTGTTCTGATGATTCGTGTGCTGATTCATGTTCTGATGATTCGTGTGCTGATTCATGTTCTGATGATTCGTGTGCTGATTCATGTTCTAATTCTTTTGCTGATTCGCTATCTGATGATTCGTTTTCTGATGATTCGTGTTCTGATTATTAGTTTTCTGATGATTAGTTTTCTGATGATTCGTGTTCTGATGATTCGTGTTCTGATGATTCGTGTGCTGATTCGTGTTCTGATGATTCGTGTGCTGATTCGTGTTCTGATGATTCGTGTGCTGATTCATGTTCTGATGATTCGTGTGCTGATTCATGTTCTAATTCTTTTGCGGATTCGCTATCTGATGATTCGTGTGCTGATTCATGTTCTGATGATTCGTGTGCTGATTCATGTTCTGATGATTCGTGTGCTGATTCATGTTCTGATGATTCGTGTGCTGATTCATGTTCTGATGATTCGTGTGCTGATTCATGTTCTAATTCTTTTGCGGATTCGCTATCTGATGATTCGTGTGCTGATTCATGTTCTGATGATTCGTGTGCTGATTCATGTTCTAATTCTTTTGCGGATTCGTTTTCTGATGATTCGTGTGCTGATTCGTGTTCTGATGATTCGTGTGCTGATTCATGTTCTGATGATTCGTGTGCTGATTCATGTTCTGATGATTCGTGTGCTGATTCATGTTCTGATGATTCGTGTGCTGATTCATGTTCTGATGATTCGTGTGCTGATTCATGTTCTAATTCTTTTGCGGATTCGCTATCTGATGATTCGTGTGCTGATTCATGTTCTGATGATTCGTGTGCTGATTCATGTTCTAATTCTTTTGCGGATTCGTTTTCTGATGATTCGTGTGTTGATTCGTGTGCTGATTCATTTTCTGATGATTCATGTTCTGATTCATGACCTCATTGATTGCGTTTGTTTAATTGACTTCATGAACATGCTGTGAGCAAAAATTTGACTTACTAGTGAGACTATTCCAAGCAGTTTCTACAAGTTGGCCTAATCTAGACTAATCTAAAAAACAGGTTCAAAGGAATATTCTGTTGCTATAACTTTTACGTGGATGATCCGGCTCGGTCGGTGGTTGGTTTAGGCGGTTGACCACCTGAACTAGCAGATGATCCAGACTTTGACAGGATACCGCAGCGAAACACAACACTAGTGAGGCCATCTCAGACCGCCTGGACATCCCCGTTGCCTGAACCCTCGCTGAAGACGCCGGTCTTCTGTTTGGGAGATTCTCCTGTCGCTCCGCTGCTCCTCTTTACAGTGCGTTTCTAAACATGTGACTGGAGAAAATAACCCTTTCATCATGAGACTCTTAAATATTCCATAGAGTAATGTCAGATTCAGGAATAGCAGCGTGCGCTAAAACGAGCTTGTCCTCTAATCGCATGTAATTACGTGATTCCAGTGGAAAAGCATCGGCTCGGCTCGTCTGTCTCCTGGCCTCTCTCTGGCTGCATCTCAGAATATCTCAGCGAACACACCTTCTGTCAAGTTATGAGCAAACGTTCTCCCAGTGATGTTCATTTATCTGCTCTTTAACAATGTTCTCAAAACAGTATTTATACATCATTTATAGTATGTTTTTATTCTTTAGTTGGATGTTTAGTTTAGATGTTACCGCTTGTTTAAGAACGTTCAGAGAACATTTAAAAGTAACGTTCCCATAATGTTTGAAGAATTATACAATGTTAATGTTTCCTTAGACGTTCACATAACTTTTTAAAAACTGGAACGTTTAAAGAACATACAGTAATAACGTTTTCATAACTTTTCTTAACCACAATCATTAGTTCATTAACAAACAAGTATTCATTACTTTAATGAGCTCATTGTTTCTGCCTTAAATTATTACATTATTTAAATTAATACCTTTTTATCTAACTGTGATTTTGTATATGTGCATTTCTGAAATGCATAACTCAGTCTCCTCTGATGACAGATCACTGTAAACTGTAATGTGGACTCGTGCACTTTCTGTAAAGCTGCTTTGAAACGATGTGTGTTGTGAAAAGCGCTATAGAAATAAATGTGAATTGAATTGGATGAATGGAAATGTTAGCAAGACGTTCTCCGAGCAGATGTTTGTAATGTCTCCTGCCTTCCTCTTGCTCAACACGATCTATAAAGCCACAGAGTCTGAGTCCTGCCGTAAATAACCTGAGAAACACAGGCTTGCTCTGTCTTTACACAAACCTCAGTGTTTATCCGGCACTTCTGTCCTGCGCCTTCAGCTTCTGCCTCGAGTCTCCTTCATTTACACAGCGCTTTACAACACTGAGAGTTTCAGCTTTACAGAGATGCAGGAGAATAATGCAGCAGAGTGTGTGTCCAGGAGAGAATAGCGTCAGTCCAGCTGAAGTCAGTTCAGTGATGCTTCATTTCTGTTGTAGGAGAGTTATTAATTTAGTTAATTTATATATACAGCCGCTCTGGAGGAACCCGTGATGTCATCGTCCAGCTCAGTTCTCATATCTGATCAACTTTCCCTCATCAGGCGCGTGTGTTTTCACTGAAATCAGCCGCTGCTTTTCTTGTTCTTGTGCGAGTCATAACAGCTCAGAGGAATATCCTGAAGCGTGTCGGGATCTGCCCTGCGTAATGACTGGCTGAGACTGATTAAACACATTACCCTCGTCTTCATCAGTGACGAGAGCGACCCACAGTCCTTCTGTCTCCTGCTTTCAAAGGCCTTTCTGGGACCCGAGCTGCAAGATTACATGTGCAATATTTAATAGTAAAATGCATATTTTCCAGCTTTTTTTGTCGTTGCTTGAATCATGTTTTTTGTCCCGTTTCTATTCAAATGAACTAAAGAATAAATCTCTTTATACACTCTTAAAAATAAAAGTTCCTCAAGGGTTTTGCAGTGATGCGGCCACAGAAGCTTCCAGTTCTTATAGAAACTAATAATCTAAAGATTTTCCACTATAAAGAAGCTTTTGTGGATTGGAAAGATTAATGCATGTTAACGGCTCTTCATGGAAACATCGGTGCCAATAAAGAAGTTTTAGTTTAGAGACTGTGACCTTTTCAGTGCAGAATACAAATTCTAAACATCTAAAAACTCTTAAAGATACATTTACAGGAGAAGCAACATGAAATACGATCCCTTAGAAACGAATCTAGAATCTGAGTGAGTTTGTGCTTAAAACGAACAACTATCTGCCAGTGGGGTCAGAAATATAGTCTTGTTTTCTCTTTGAATGAAATGTATTGTTCTGACCCCTGACAGAGATTAGTCTGTATGTTTGGTGTCCTGAGATACAGGAGGAGGAACAGCAGTCGCAGTGGAGGAGTGAGTGTTGTTGAGTGCAGAGCTGTGATGTGTTCCTGGTTTCGTCTGAGGGTCTGCTATATTAAAGCGAGCCGCAGAGATCCTGAGTGATGTTTAATAGCCGGGTTCGCTCGCGGTCTCACGACTCCACCCGCCTCCACTCACTCCTGTCTCCTGCTGTTCCTCTTCAACGCTTCCACTGCTGGAAAAGCACCTTGGAAGAAACTCTCACTGCTTTTGTTTCAGGGCATGAAAGCAATTAAATCTTATCGTTGGATCTTTATATTTAAACATCATAATTTTCTCCAATTGCACTGAATAGCCAGTTTGACTCTCTAAAGAGGAACTTTTATAGCAGGACGTTTGCTTTTGATGACGAGAATCCCAGTGTTCTGCACAGCACAGGGTATTACAGTGAGTCTTCCTGCAGGAACAATGATTGTGCAGTTTCAGAAGCGTCTGAGTTAGGGTTGGGTTAGGGTTGGGTTGGGTTAGGGTTGGGTTAGGCTTATGGTTGGGTTAGGGTTGGGTTGGGTTATGGTTGGGTTAGGGTTATGGTTGGGTTAGGCTTATGGTTGGGTTAGGGTTGGGTTGGGTTATAGGGTTGGGTTGGGTTATGGTTGGGTTAGGGTTAGTGCTGATCTGCAGACTGATGTTATGATGCGTGTGGATGTTCGTCAGCGATCTGTGGAAACGAGGATCTGAACACTGACGATGCGTTGAGTTACTGTCACTCCATTACAGGTTTTCAACTGTTACACACAGAATCCTCACTTGTCACATAATTTCTGAAACCTGACACTGAAACACCAGAAACACACACCAGATCTGCACAACCACACACTCATTCTCAGCCTTCGACTCAATTTTCAACACTTTTTGCAAACCACAACACACACATCTCTAACAGGAAGTCTCTTGATTTCCTTTTTCAAACACAATCTATCAAACACCACAGTAATGCATCAGAGCCTCACACACACACACACACACCAGCCAATCATGGCTTTAGAATAGGACTATTAATAGGTCAAAGGTCGAGTTATGGGTTTTTCGGACCGTAATACTGTATTCACAACCACAAATGCTTACAGTAAAAAAACTCGCTTTCGTGTTTACCGTGAATTCTTCAACATCTCTGACAATTACTTTCAGTCCAGAAATGTACGTGAAAGATCAGCTTTAGGTTTTAAATAACTGTGTGTTTATGATATATCCAGAAATATAATATTATGGCAAAGGTGTTTGCAACGTAACACATGTGTGTGCTTTTGAGATGTGTGTGATATTTTGCGAGCAGTGCTTCGTTTAGCAGGAGATGTGAGGCATTTCGCTTTTTGTGTGCAATTCTTGGATTTGTGTGTAAAGTTTTTGAAAAAAAAGGCAAAGTTTTGAAAATGTGTGTAAGCAGTTAAAAACCCGAATGCAGTTGTTCTCCTGAAGTGTGTGTGGCTGTGGCCTGCTCTCGGTCATGTGACTGCTCTCAGCCAATGGCGGGCCTGCGTGAATCCGCTGTTGATGTGGCAAATAAGTGGTTTCCTCCGTCAGCCCGGACCACCAGCACTCAGACACACTATATATACATCCCTCTCCTGAAGGACTCACACACTCCGCACCTCTGCTCTTACCGCGGTACATTTACAAAGGCATGATGGTATCGTGGCACTTTATGGGGTATTTTTGTGTTTCCGAGCAACACAAAGAGCACTGTGTGTTTCAGCAGGTGCTTGTGGGTATTTTTATCTGCTGCTTTAATTCATTTACTCTTAAACTGCACGTCTGTAAGTCATTTCAGCTCTTGATCTGCACTCGACGAGTTTCAACTTACGGGTTACGGCCTACAAAACGACATCATTATGCTCTCATAAACCCCGCCCTCGGGGACAGTGTCAGCCAATCAGACGTCAGCACTCCTGAACGCTCAACATGAGCGAGTCTCGTTCTCTGTCGGGTTATTTCACTGATATCTGGCCACACACTCTCACACACACTCACACACACACACACACACACACACACACACACACTCTGCTGTGTCTCAGAGACCATAATACACCCGCGCCTCATTTCAGTGCGCCCTCATGCATGTCCTGAGGTGTGTGTGTGTGTGTGTGTGTGTGTGTGTGTGTGTGTGTGTGTGTGTGTGTGTGTGTGTGTGTGTGTGTGTGTGTGTGTGAGATATATGGACAGAAACACAAGCGGTTTTGGCAGAACTTTGAGAACATCGAGATCTCTGTGTGAACGTCTGCTAACCACTAAACCAGTGTGTTTCGTCTGAGACACTCACGCACTGTGTTTATTTACTATCGACTGTTCGCTGACGATGCCAAATAAATATATATATATATATGTGTCTGTGTGTGTGTGTGTGACTGACATTAACACACATAAACAAGCTCGGCCGCTCATGTGAAGCATGTGTATTTAATTCAGACCATTTATTTTTTATTTGTGTCTTCAGGAAACTGTGGGAATCCAAGCTGGAGGATCCGGCCACAAGGTACGACTTCATTTACTGTTTATTTTCACATTTCCTAAGCGGCGAGCGAGACGTGGATGTGTGACCGACTGATCTGGTGTGTGTGTGTGATGGGTAGGTTTAGGGGTCGGGTTAGTGTGTGTGTGTGTGTGTGTGTGTGATGGGTAGGTTTAGGGGTCGGGTTAGTGTGTTTGTGTGTGTGTGTGTGTGTGATGGGTAGGTTTAGGGGTCGGGTTAGTGTGTTTGTGTGTGTGTGTGTGTGTGATGGGTAGGTTTAGGGGTCGGGTTAGTGTGTTTGTGTGTGTGTGTGTGTGATGGGTAGGTTTAGGGGTCGGGTTTGTGTGTGTGTGTGTGTGTGTGATGGGTAGGTTTAGGGGTAGGGTTAGTGTAAGGGGACAGAATATACAGTTTGTACTGTATAAAAACCATTACATCTCTGGAATGTCCTCACAAGTATAGCAAAACAAACGCGTGTGTGTGTGTGTGTGTGTGTGCAGGGCTGCGGTCAGCAAGAAGGGCTTCTGGGTGGACCGGGTCCAGTGTTCGGGGACCGAGGCTTCTCTGGCTCAGTGTCGGGCTCAGCTCTCGGACGCGCGGCTCGAGTCCTGCTCCGGCGGGATGCATGCGGTGGTGTTCTGCCTTCCCGGCGCTCGGTTCTCCCGGATCTCCTCCGGACGCCCGCAGGCTCCGCCCCCTCAGAACGTGAGCGCACTGAACACGCACTGAACACACACTGATAGGGTTGCCAACTTTCTGAAATGGAAATAAGGAAGGAAGGAAGGGGGGGGGGGGGGGGGGGGGGGGGGGGGGGGGGTGACATGCCCCCTGAAATTCATACATTTTATATCATATTATAATGCAACTTATTAGGCCTATATATTTATAGAATAGCAAAGTAGGCTTAATCAATATACAAGACTTAACCACACAGATATATAAAGGCTATCATGATCATTTTGCCAAAAATGAACCATGTATTTGTTTAGATTATAATACGTTTTATTTTTAACTTAAACAAATACAACATATAACATTCGAAACTCATCGGCTTAGACTGCATTTGAAGAAAAATAAACACAACAGTTTTCTGTAGCCTTGTGCGAACTTATTCAATAGAATTAGACTTATAGAATGTTCTTTCCGGTGCAAAATAAAAAAATATTTCTTATCATAGCCTACAAATGTCTTCGGAAACACATTTTACTCGATTTACTGAAGCCTGTAAAATGCATTTGCAGCTGAACAGCTTGCACATTGAGCGTCTGGCTCGCTCAGGCTGCGCTGCGGCAACTATCATAGTCTGTCTGACATATATATTAGAAGCTATGCGTCTGTCATGGATTTGCACTGAATTGATTCTCAAAAATACGGAACAAAGTGTGTTCCGTATCAGTTCAATACGGAACAAGCCTTTTATGTGTCAAATACAGAACGATTCCGTATTATACGGAACGGTTGGCAACCCTACACACTGAACACACACTGACTGTGAAAAAAAACACGTTTCAGCTAACAGTTATGCGTTACTTTACTTGTTAAATAATCTGACCCGTAACTCGAGTTACTTGTACTGCGTTACACTGATCCCGGATAAACGAACATGTGCAGCGAGGCGGATTAGCTGAGGTGACGCTAACACACAGCAGACAAACGCTAGCAGTGACATCAGCGGCAATCCACCTGTCACTCAAGTGGCCACACCCTTAATTATGCACAACTTTAAGGCTTAATATAATTTAAACGGATGAGTTGTAAAGAAATTCACCCCCTCACAGTCGTCATGAAGAGCAACATTAGCGATATAGACCAAAACCACTTTTAGCACCAGACTGTGAACATGTTTATTCTGCTGTAAAGTTGTGCATTTTAACATGCGGGTCTATGGGACTGAGTCTCTTCTGCAGCCGGCCTCTAGTGGCCAGTGGAGGAACTGCAGTTTAACTCACTCAGTGCTGGATTGAAGAGAGACACGGGCTCAGCTTCTCTTGTGTCCGCAGGTGGAGGTGCGTCTGAAAGCGGGTCCACGGCTGGGCGAGGGTCGGGTCGAGGTTCTCCGCGATGGGAAGTGGGGGACCGTGTGTGATCATCTGTGGGACCTGCCAGCTGCCAGTGTGGTGTGCCGAGAACTGGGCTTCGGCTCGGCCCGAGAGGCCCTGAGAGGAGCAAGCATGGGGCAAGGTAACGGAGTGTGACCGTACCACGGTAAAGAGTTCACCACAGGAATAAGATTCAGCGATGATATGAGCTGCTCGTTTGAGAGCTATTTCCTCTTTTCCCAGTGGCTGATGGGAATGTTGAGCTTGAGCTTGTCAGGGTTGAGTGAGGATTTTCTCCGCCAGTCTAAACAGAAAACACGAGCCGCTCAGACGCTGCGCTGTGAATGTTTAATGCAGTGGCGTGTTTGTCCTCCTGCGGTGGGAACAGTTTTTATGTTTATTGGGGGTTGGGGGTGTAATATTTCTAAATCTAAATCGATTTTTTTAAATAAAAAAATAATGTTTATAAAATCGCATGAAATGTGTTTTTTAAAGCTCCAGTTATGCTGTGTTTGTTTGTAGGGCTGCACAATTTGGCCAAAAATTATTATTATTAAAGTCCTCCTTTAGTCAATAATTGTATCCCTTAAAACTCATCTTTGATCACCGAAATGACATATTTAAATGTTTTTTTCCTTGAAAAAAAAGGTCTTCATGCCTTAAAATATCTTGAATGTAACTCGACACCCTTGCCTCATTTAGTATGCGCGGTTCTATGAATATGCAGATGAGCCCCGCCTCCACTCACTCCCTCAGCTCAGAGATCCACTGGTTGACGATCACACGTTGATCTGATTGGTTACAAGGTCGTTTGTGACGTCAGAAACACCAGCGATTTCAAACCGTGTTTTTGAGACTGTCTTTGGTTCACTGCAGTTTTAAGGAGGAAATACTCAGCAATGCGTCACGACTTATGAACTTACACATGTGTGTCTTAAAGCGTATTAAAAACACCACATACACACATAAACAACATTAAACGCTGGATGTTCACCACAGGGCGACTTTACTACTTTAAAAATTCACTGTAAAATCAAGTATCTAAGGAAAATAACAGTAATGATAATTATTATTATTTTACAACTGTAAAATTACATCTCAACCTCTTGCCTCTCCTTCTCACTGTACTTTTTGGTAATTCAGATGTTTATTGTTGATCAACACAAACACCATGAGTCTTCCCAGCATGCTCAGCGATTACAGGCGTTCTGCACTGATGTTTCATGGGTTAATGTTCTGAGTTAAACACTGTCAGTGATGAGGAGGATTCCAGTGTTTGCTGTGACATCATAACCCAACCGGACACAAGTGACAGAGTCTCGTCCGTACGCTGCTATTTTCATCTATTCAACGCTTGCGTTTGGTGTGTGTGTGTGTGTGTGTGTCATTCACTGCATCACGCATGTGTGTGTGCGCCCGTTTGTCTTGTGATCCGGCCAGATGCAGTTTTCTGCCAAACACAACGTGCTGATGACTATTTCTAGCAGGTAACCTGTGTGTGTGGTGTGTATGTGTGTGTGTGTGTGTGTGTGTGTGTGTGATGGGTAGGTTTTGGGGTAGGGTTAGTGTAAGATGACAGAATATACGGTATAAACATCATTATGTCTATGGAAAGTCCCCATAAAACATGAAAACACAACATGAGTTATGTGTGTGTGTGTGTGTGTGTGCAGGTACGGGTCTGATCCACATGAACGCAGTGCAGTGTTCGGGCCGCGAGAGCTCCATCACGAAGTGCCGCTTCCAGGAGGTTCCTTTGCGCTCCTGCAAACACACTCAGGACGCGAGTGTGCGCTGCAACGTCCCCGACACCGGCCTGAGCGCCACGGTGCGACACACACCCTCGACACACACCTTCACTCCTACAGCACTGATGTCTGTGTGGCCTGAGCGCCACGGTGCGACACACACCTTCACTCCTACAGCACTGATGTCTGTGTGGCCTGAGCCCCACGGTGCGACACACACCTTCACTCCTACAGCACTGATGTCTGTGTGTGGCATGTTTCAACTGTGGAGTGTGTGTGCAGCAGGTGTAATGTGTGTGTGTGTGCAGCAGGTGTAATGTGTGTGTGTGTGCAGCAGGTGTAATGTGTGTGTGTGTGCTGTAGGTGTAATGTGTGTGTGTGTGTGTGTGTGTGTGTGTGTGCAGCAGGTGTAATGTGTGTGTGTGTGTGTGTGTGCAGGTGCGTCTGGCGGGCGGGCGGCAGGTGATGGAGGGCCGAGTGGAGGTGCTGATGGAGGTCGACGGGCAGCAGAGATGGGGCTCCGTCTGCAGTGAGAACTGGGGTATCAATGAGGCTATGGTTGTGTGCCGGCAGCTGGGCTTCGGGTTCGCCTCCACAGCACATCAGGTGCCTCAACTCTCCTCCTCACCGAACACCTCAACACTCCTCCTCACCGAACACCTCAACTCTCCTCCTCACCGAACACCTCAACACTCCTCCTCACCGAACACCTCAACTCTCCTCCTCACCGAACACCTCCACACTCCTCCTCACCGAACACCTCCACACTCCTCCTCACCGAACACCTCAACACTCCTCCTCACCGAACACCTCCTCACCGAACACCTCGACACGCCTCCTCACCGAACACCTCCACACTCCTCCTCACCGAACACCTCGACACGCCTCCTCACCAAACACCTCCACACTCCTCCTCACCGAACACCTCGACACTCCTCCTCACCAAACACCTCGACACTCCTCCTCACCGAACACCTCCACACTCCTCCTCACCAAACACCTCCACACTCCTCCTCACCAAACACCTCCACACTCCTCCTCACCGAACACCTCGACACTCCTCCTCACCAAACACCTCGACACTCCTCCTCACCGAACACCTCGACACTCCTCCTCACCAAACACCTCCACACTCCTCCTCACCAAACACCTCGACACTCCTCCTCACCGAACACCTAGACACTCCTCCTCACCAAACACCTCCACACTCCTCCTCACCAAACACCTCCACACTCCTCCTCACCGAACACCTCGACACTCCTCCTCACCAAACACCTCCACACTCCTCCTCACCAAACACCTCCACACTCCTCCTCACCGAACACCTCGACACGCCTCCTCACCAAACACCTCCACACTCCTCCTCACCGAACACCTCGACACTCCTCCTCACCAAACACCTCCACACTCCTCCTCACCGAACACCTCGACACTCCTCCTCACCAAACACCTCCACACTCCTCCTCACCGAACACCTCAACACTCCTCCTCACCGAACACCTCGACACTCCTCCTCACCGAACACCTCGAACACCTCAACACTCCTCCTCACCGAACACCTCGACACTCCTCCTCACCGAACACCTCAACACTCCTCCTCACCGAACACCTCGACACTCCTCCTCACCAAACACCTCGACACTCCTCCTCACCGAACACCTCGACACTCCTCCTCACCGAACACCTCAACACTCCTCCTCACCGAACACCTCCACACTCCTCCTCACCGAACACCTCCACACTCCTCCTCACCGAACACCTCGACACTCCTCCTCACCGAACACCTCGACACTCCTCCTCACCGAACACCTCGACACTCCTCCTCACCGAACACCTCAACACTCCTCCTCACCGAACACCTCGACACTCCTCCTCACCAAACACCTCCACACTCCTCCTCACCGAACACCTCGACACGCCTCCTCACCGAACACCTCGACACTCCTCCTCACCGAACACCTCAACACTCCTCCTCACCGAACACCTCGACACTCCTCCTCACCGAACACCTCAACACTCCTCCTCACCAAACACCTCCACACTCCTCCTCACCAAACACCTCCACACTCCTCCTCACCGAACACCTCGACACTCCTCCTCACCGAACACGTCAACACTCCTCCTCACCGAACACCTCGACACTCCTCCTCACCGAACACCTCAATACTCCTCCTCACCGAACACCTCGACACTCCTCCTCACCGAACACCTCCTCACCGAACACCTCGACACGCCTCCTCACCGAACACCTCCACACTCCTCCTCACCGAACACCTCCACACTCCTCCTCACCGAACACCTCCACACTCCTCCTCACCGAACACCTCAACACGCCTCCTCACCGAAACACCTCCACACTCCTCCTCACCGAACACCTCAACACGCCTCCTCACCGAACACCTCCACACTCCTCCTCACCGAACACCTCGACACTCCTCCTCACCGAACACCTCCACACTCCTCCTCACCGAACACCCCGACACTCCTCCTCACCAAACACCTCGACACTCCTCCTCACCAAACACCTCCACACTCCTCCTCACCGAACACCTCAACACGCCTCCTCACCGAACACCTCCACACTCCTCCTCACCGAACACCTCAACACTCCTCCTCACCGAACACCTCGACACTCCTCCTCACCAAACACCTCCACACTCCTCCTCACCGAACACCTCGACACGCCTCCTCACCAAACACCTCGACACTCCTCCTCACCGAACACCTCAACACTCCTCCTCACCGAACTCCTCGACACTCCTCCTCACCGAACACCTCAACACTCCTCCTCACCGAACACCTCGACACTCCTCCTCACCGAACACCTCAACACTCCTCCTCACCGAACACCTCGACACTCCTCCTCACCGAACACCTCGACACTCCTCCTCACCGAACACCTCGACACTCCTCCTCACCGAACACCTCAACACTCCTCCTCACCGAACACCTCAACACTCCTCCTCACCAAACACCTCGACACTCCTCCTCACCGAACACCTCAACACTCCTCCTCACCGAACACCTCGACACTCCTCCTCACCGAACACCTCGAACACCTCAACACTCCTCCTCACCGAACACCTCGACACTCCTCCTCACCGAACACCTCAACACTCCTCCTCACCGAACACCTCGACACTCCTCCTCACCGAACACCTCGACACTCCTCCTCACCAAAGACCTCGACACTCCTCCTCCTCACCAAAGACCTCGACACTCCTCCTCCTCACCGAACACCTCAACACTCCTCCTCACCGAACACCTCCACACTCCTCCTCACCGAACACCTCCACACTCCTCCTCACCAAACACCTCGACACTCCTCCTCACCGAACACCTCGACACTCCTCCTCACCGAACACCTCAACACTCATCCTCACCGAAACACCTCGACACTCCTCCTCACCAAACACCTCCACACTCCTCCTCACCGAACACCTCGACACGCCTCCTCACCGAACACCTCGACACTCCTCCTCACCGAACACCTCAACACTCCTCCTCACCGAACACCTCGACACTCCTCCTCACCGAACACCTCAACACTCCTCCTCACCGAACACCTCGACACTCCTCCTCACCAAACACCTCCACACTCCTCCTCACCGAACACCTCGACACTCCTCCTCACCGAACACCTCAACACTCCTCCTCACCGAACACCTCGACACTCCTCCTCACCGAACACCTCAACACTCCTCCTCACCGAACACCTCGACACTCCTCCTCACCGAACACCTCCTCACCGAACACCTCGACACGCCTCCTCACCGAACACCTCCACACTCCTCCTCACCGAACACCTCCACACTCCTCCTCACCGAACACCTCCACACTCCTCCTCACCAAACACCTCAACACGCCTCCTCACCGAACACCTCCACACTCCTCCTCACCGAACACCTCAACACGCCTCCTCACCGAACACCTCCACACTCCTCCTCACTGAACACCTCGACACTCCTCCTCACCGAACACCTCCACACTCCTCCTCACCAAACACCTCGACACTCCTCCTCACCAAACACCTCCACACTCCTCCTCACCGAACACCTCAACACGCCTCCTCACCGAACACCTCCACACTCCTCCTCACCGAACACCTCCACACTCCTCCTCCTCACCGAACACCTCAACACTCCTCCTCACCGAACACCTCCTCACCGAACACCTCGACACGCCTCCTCACCGAACACCTCCACACTCCTCCTCACCGAACACCTCCACACTCCTCCTCACCGAACACCTCCACACTCCTCCTCACCGAACACCTCAACACGCCTCCTCACCGAACACCTCCACACTCCTCCTCACCGAACACCTCAACACGCCTCCTCACCAAACACCTCCACACTCCTCCTCACCGAACACCTCCACACTCCTCCTCACCGAACACCTCCACACTCCTCCTCACCGAACACCTCAACACGCCTCCTCACCGAACACCTCGACACTCCTCCTCACCAAACACCTCGACACTCCTCCTCACCGAACACCTTAACACGCCTCCTCACCGAACACCTCCACACTCCTCCTCACCAAACACCTCCACACTCCTCCTCACCGAACACCTCAACACGCCTCCTCACCGAACACCTCGACACTCCTCCTCACCAAACACCTCCACACTCCTCCTCACCGAACACCTCAACACGCCTCCTCACCGAACACCTCCACACTCCTCCTTACCGAACACCTCGACACTCCTCCTCACCGAACACCTCCACACTCCTCCTCACCGAACACCTCCACACTCCTCCTCACTGACACTGCTCCTCACCGAACACCTTGACACTCCTCCTCCTCACCGAACACCTCGACACGCCTCCTCACCGAACACCTCGACACTCCTCCTCACCGAACACCTCGACACTCCTCCTCCTCACCGAACACCTCGACACTCCTCCTCCTCACCGAACACCTCGACACTCCTCCTCACCGAACACCTCGACACTCCTCCTCCTCACCGAACACCTCGACACTCCTCCTCACCGAACACCTCGACACTCCTCCTCACCGAACACCTCGACACTCCTCCTCCTCACCAAACACCTCGACACTCCTCCTCACCGAACACCTCGACACTCCTCCTCCTCACCGAACACCTCGACACTCCTCCTCACCGAACACCTCGACACTCCTCCTCACCAAACACCTCGACACTCCTCCTCCTCACCGAACACCTCGACACTCCTCCTCACCGAACACCTCGACACTCCTCCTCCCCGAACACCTCGACACTCCTCCTCCTCACCGAACACCTCGACACTCCTCCTCACCGAACACCTCGACACTCCTCCTCCTCAACGAACACCTCAAGTTAAAAAAAGTAACAATTATTGCATACTAAGTAAAAATTGTCATAGTAAATTGAAATTGACAAAGTCGAAAATCACATACTAAATCGAAATTATGATTCATCATTTATTATGATTCATTATTGAATTAATTAATTAAAAAATGTAATCTCATAATTCCATGTTCATTCAGCCGTTTTTTCTGATCAAACATAATGTGACTGAGTTTTCGTGTCGGGTTGAACAGCAGACGGTGTGTTTCTCTCTCAGCTCGCCTGTTATTGTGCTGAAACAGCTCAAAGAGATTTAAACTATTGAACAATAACAATAACTGCATCTGAACGAGACTCGCAGTTATGAAACCTGAAGCTGCTCATGAAATGCGACTCGCTGTCAGTTTATTGTGTAATCGAGTGCTGAGTGTGTTTTATTCGGTCAGGGTTTACATCCGCAGAGCTTTTGTTTTCCCGGCTGTTGTTTCCCATGCAGAAGGTAATTACAGCCCTGCACAGATTCAGGGAAAGAGCTGGAAACCCAGAGAGAAAACAATCCCAAAATAGCGCCGCTGGATGTGGATCAAATTTGTGCTCTTATAAAAACCCGTTTAAAAGCGGCTCTGGGTAAATAGACGGTGGAGAGGAAAGTGGAAAATCCTTGATAATGTGCATGAATGATGTGTAATAACACGTCTCATGCATGTGTGTTTGTGTGTGTGCAGGAGACGTGGTTCTGGTCGGGAAGCTCCGGGTCGGAGGACGTGGTTCTTAGTGGAACTCACTGCATCGGGACTGAGATCTCCATTCAGCAGTGTGGGAGGAGCCAACAGGTGTACTGCCCTCGAGGGGGCGGAGCTAAAGCAGCCGGGGTCACCTGTGCAGACGGTACCAGAGCTGCTGGGAATCACTTATAAAATAATGAATATTTATGTAATAATATTATATTTCTGATCATTATATAATGGCGCTGTTGCTGTTTTTTGGCCAGTGGCTCCGGATCTGGTGGTGGACGCTCAGCTGGTTCAGGAGTCTGCGTACCTGGAGGACCGTCCGCTGCACCTGCTCACCTGCGCTCACGAGGAACACTGCCTGTCCTCCTCCGCCTCACGCATGAACTGGCCCTACGGTCACCGGCGGCTCCTGCGCTTCTCCTCACGCATCATGAACCTGGGCAGAGCCGACTTCAGACCCAGAGCCACAAAAGAGTCCTGGACCTGGCACCAGTGCCACAGGTTTGTGTGTGTGTGTGTGTGTGTGTGATATTCTGTAGTGCAGCAGAATATGGAGGTGGAGAGATACTGCATATTTGACGTGTCTTTATTAACAGATGTTTACACGGAAACACACAAGATAGATCTGACACCAAACACGGGCTACAACTACACTGCTAACTCTGAGAGATTCAGCCACTGTTGCACAAGCATGCCCTCTAGTGGTCACACTCCCAAATAACCTTATACTTCACTACATCCCCTTCCCTCTGATAACACTTCCAACAACTCTCTAACGAGATGAGTTCTCCTACCAGCTCTTTCTTTTCTCCTTTTTGTCCTTTGAACGCTGTTTTCCTCAGTTACAAACAATCCTTGTAGATCTCTCACGTTTTTGTTTGCAGACTCTATTGCCTGGCAGATGTTAAGTGCCTTCTCGAAAGTTGTTTACTCCACTTCTGCCAGCAATATTCTCTGCATACGGTCGTCATTCACTCCACAGACGAGTCTATCACACAGCATTCGTGGAAGTGTGCCCCCGTAGTCAGAGTGCCTTGCTAACTTATTCAATTCCGCCACATAATCTGCAACAGTTTCTCCCTATTTCCGTTTATGTGAGTTAAACTTATATCTTTGCACAATTTCACTTGGTTTAGGATTGAAATGATTTTTGAGGACATATACCAACTCTTCATATGTTTTCTCTCCTGGCTTTGCGGGGTAGAGTAAACTTCTCAACAAGCTATGCGTGTTAGCCCAACCCCTCTTAACAGCACAGCCTTCTGTTTCTCAGCTGCCTCAATGTCATTTGCTTGAAAGAAATACTCCATCATTTCTATGTATTCCCCCGCACCACCAGCATCATCATCTTGACTCTTTAGACGTTGCCTTTAACTTATTCTATCTGTTTCACTGCAGAAAAGATACTCATGCGGCCAATAAACACTCACAGCAACATTTCCTCCATTACGCAAACTCCATAGATCCTCATCGGCAATTTTGTGATATTCTGTAGTGCAGCAGAATATGGAGCGGGAGAGATACTGCATATTTGACGAGTCTTTATTAACAGATGTTTACAAGGGAACACACAAGATAGATCTGACACCAAACACGGGCTACAACTACACTGCTAACTCTGAGAGATTCAGCCACTGTTGCACAAGCATGCCCTCTAGTGGTCACTCTTCCACTACTTCACTAGTGAGTGTGAGTGTGTGTTCAGCTGCGGTCAGGATTCTGTGGTCAGTTTAAGTTCTCGTCCCGCAGAAGGAGGATCTGTCATGTGACGGTTTACAAGCCAATGAGAGGCCAGGATTGTGTCACATGACTGCTGTGTTTCTGATCTCATCTCTTACAGGCATTACCACAGTATCGAGGTCTTCACACACTATGACCTCTTGACCCTGAACGGCACGAAGGTCGCTGAGGGTCACAAGGCCAGTTTCTGTTTGGAGGACACGTACTGCCCTGAAGGTGAAGCGGCAAAAACTTTCCGGAGTAATCAGTAACAGTAATCAGTGTAACAGGAATCAGTGTAACAGGAATCAGTGTAACAGGAATCAGTGTAACAGCAATCAGTGTAACAGCAAACAGTGTAACACCAATCAGTGTAACAGCAATCAGTGTAACAGGAATCAGTGTAACAGCAATCAGTGAAACAGGAATCAGTGTAACAGCAATCAGTGTAACAGGAATCAGTGTAACAGGAATCAGTGTAACAGGAATCAGTGTAACAGGAATCAGTGTAACAGCAATCAGTGTAACAGGAATCAGTCTAACATGAATCAGTGTAACAGGAATCAGTGTAACAGGAATCAGTGTAACAGCAATCAGTGAAACAGGAATCAGTGTATCAGCAATCAGTGTAACAGGAATCAGTGTAACAGGAATCAGTGTAACAGCAATTAGTGTAACAGCAATCAGTGTAACAGCAATAAGTGTAAAAGCAATCAGTGTAAAAGCAATCAGTGTAAAAGCAATCAGTGTAACAGGAATCAGTGTAACAGCAATTAGTGTAACAGCAATCAGTGTAACAGGAATCAGTGTAAAAGCAATCAGTGTAAAAGCAATCAGTGTAACAGGAATCAGTGTAACAGCAATCAGTGTAAAAGCAATCAGTGTAAAAGCAATCAGTGTAAAAGCAATCAGTGTAACAGCAATTAGTGTAACAGGAATCAGTGTAAAAGCAATCAGTGTAACAGCAATTAGTGTAACAGGAATCAGTGTAAAAGCAATCAGTGTAACAGCAATCAGTGTAAAAGCAATCAGTGTAAAAGCAATCAGTGTAAAAGCAATCAGTGTAACAGCAATCAGTGTAACAGCAATCAGTATAAAAGCAATCAGTGTAAAAGCAATCAGTGTAAAAGCAATCAGTGTAACAGGAATCAGTGTAACAGCAATTAGTGTAACAGCAATCAGTGTAACAGCAATCAGTGTAAAAGCAATCAGTGTAAAAGCAATCAGTGTAAAAGCAATCAGTGTAACAGGAATCAGTGTAACAGCAATTAGTGTAACAGCAATCAGTGAAACAGGAATCAGTGTAACAGGAATCAGTGTAACAGGAATCAGTGTAACAGGAATCAGTGTAACAGCAATTAGTGTAACAGGAATCAGTGTAACAGGAATCAGTGTAACAGGAATCAGTGTAAAAGCAATCAGTGTAACAGCAATCAGTGTAACAGGAATCAGTGTAACAGGAATCAGTGTAACAGCAATCAGTGTAAAAGCAATCAGTGTAAAAGCAATCAGTGAAACAGGAATCAGTGTAACAGGAATCAGTGTAACAGGAATCAGTGTAACAGCAATCAGTGTAACAGGAATCAGTGTAACAGCAATCAGTGTAACAGGAATCAGTGTAACAGGAATCAGTGTAACAGCAATCAGTGTAACAGGAATCAGTGTAACAGCAATCAGTGTAACAGGAATCAGTGTAACAGGAATCAGTGTAACAGGAATCAGTGTAACAGCAATCAGTGTAACAGGAATCAGTGTAACAGGAATCAGTGTAAAAGCAATCAGTGTAACAGGAATCAGTGTAACAGGAATCAGTGTAACAGCAATCAGTGTAACAGGAATCAGTGTAAAAGCAATCAGTGTAACAGGAATCAGTGTAACAGGAATCAGTGTAACAGGAATCAGTCTAACATGAATCAGTGTAACAGGAATCAGTGTAACAGCAATCAGTGTAACAGGAATCAGTCTAAAAGCAATCAGTGTAACAGGAATCAGTGTAACAGGAATCAGTGTAAAAGCAATCAGTGTAACAGGAATCAGTGTAAAAGCAATCAGTGTAACAGCAATCAGTGTTACAGGAATCAGTGTAAAAGCAATCAGTGTAACAGGAATCAGTGTAAAAGCAATCAGTGTAAAAGCAATCAGTGTAACACCAATCAGTGTAACAGCAATCAGTGTAACAGGAATCAGTGTAACAGGAATCAGTGTAACAGGAATCAGTGTAACAGCAATCAGTGTAACAGGAATCAGTCTAACATGAATCAGTGTAACAGGAATCAGTGTAACAGGAATCAGTGTAACAGCAATCAGTGAAACAGGAATCAGTGTAACAGCAATCAGTGTAACAGGAATCAGTGTAACAGGAATCAGTGTAACAGCAATTAGTGTAACAGCAATCAGTGTAACAGCAATCAGTGTAAAAGCAATCAGTGTAAAAGCAATCAGTGTAAAAGCAATCAGTGTAACAGGAATCAGTGTAACAGCAATTAGTGTAACAGCAATCAGTGTAACAGGAATCAGTGTAAAAGCAATCAGTGTAAAAGCAATCAGTGTAACAGGAATCAGTGTAACAGCAATCAGTGTAAAAGCAATCAGTGTAAAAGCAATCAGTGTAAAAGCAATCAGTGTAAAAGCAATCAGTGTAACAGCAATTAGTGTAACAGGAATCAGTGTAAAAGCAATCAGTGTAACAGCAATTAGTGTAACAGGAATCAGTGTAAAAGCAATCAGTGTAACAGCAATCAGTGTAAAAGCAATCAGTGTAAAAGCAATCAGTGTAAAAGCAATCAGTGTAACAGCAATCAGTGTAACAGCAATCAGTATAAAAGCAATCAGTGTAAAAGCAATCAGTGTAACAGCAATCAGTGTAACAGGAATCAGTGTAACAGCAATTAGTGTAACAGCAATCAGTGTAACAGCAATCAGTGTAAAAGCAATCAGTGTAAAAGCAATCAGTGTAACAGGAATCAGTGTAACAGCAATTAGTGTAACAGCAATCAGTGAAACAGGAATCAGTGTAACAGGAATCAGTGTAACAGGAATCAGTGTAACAGGAATCAGTGTAACAGCAATTAGTGTAACAGGAATCAGTGTAACAGGAATCAGTGTAACAGGAATCAGTGTAAAAGCAATCAGTGTAACAGCAATCAGTGTAACAGGAATCAGTGTAACAGGAATCAGTGTAACAGCAATCAGTGTAAAAGCAATCAGTGAAACAGGAATCAGTGTAACAGGAATCAGTGTAACAGGAATCAGTGTAACAGGAATCAGTGTAACAGCAATCAGTGTAACAGGAATCAGTGTAACAGCAATCAGTGTAACAGGAATCAGTGTAACAGGAATCAGTGTAACAGCAATCAGTGTAACAGGAATCAGTGTAACAGCAATCAGTGTAACAGGAATCAGTGTAACAGGAATCAGTGTAACAGGAATGAGTGTAACAGCAATCAGTGTAACAGGAATCAGTGTAACAGGAATCAGTGTAAAAGCAATCAGTGTAACAGGAATCAGTGTAACAGGAATCAGTGTAACAGCAATCAGTTTAACAGGAATCAGTGTAAAAGCAATCAGTGTAACAGGAATCAGTGTAACAGGAATCAGTGTAACAGGAATCAGTCTAACATGAATCAGTGTAACAGGAATCAGTGTAACAGCAATCAGTGTAACAGGAATCAGTCTAAAAGCAATCAGTGTAACAGGAATCAGTGTAACAGGAATCAGTGTAAAAGCAATCAGTGTAACAGGAATCAGTGTAACAGGAATCAGTGTAAAAGCAATCAGTGTAACAGGAATCAGTGTAAAAGCAATCAGTGTAACAGCAATCAGTGTAACAGGAATCAGTGTAAAAGCAATCAGTGTAACAGGAATCAGTGTAACAGGAATCAGTGTAAAAGCAATCAGTGTAACAGGAATCAGTGTAACAGCAATCAGTGTAACAGCAATCAGTGTAACAGGAATCAGTGTAAAAGCAATCAGTGTAACAGGAATCAGTGTAACAGGAATCAGTGTAACAGGAATCAGTGTAAAAGCAATCAGTGTAACAGGAATCAGTGTAACAGGAATCAGTGTAACAGGAATCAGTGTAAAAGCAATCAGTGTAACAGGAATCAGTGTAACAGCAATCACTGTAACAGCAATCAGTGTAACAGGAATCAGTGTAAAAGCAATCAGTGTAACAGGAATCAGTGTAACAGGAATCAGTGTAAAAGCAATCAGTGTAAAAGCAATCAGTGTAACAGGAATCAGTGTAACAGCAATCAGTGTAACAGCAATCAGTGTAAAAGCAATCAGTGTAACAGGAATCAGTGTAACAGCAATCACTGTAACAGCAATCAGTGTAACAGCAATCAGTGTAACAGCAATCAGTGTAACAGGAATCAGTGTAAAAGCAATCAGTGTAACAGGAATCAGTTTAACAGGAATCAGTGTAACAGGAATCAGTGTAACAGGAATCAGTGTAACAGGAATCAGTGTAACAGCAATCAGTGTAAAAGCAATCAGTGTAACAGCAATCAGTGTAACAGGAATCAGTGTAACAGCAATCAGTGTAACAGCAATCAGTGTAACAGGAATCAGTGTAACAGGAATCAGTGTAACAGCAATCAGTGTAACAGGAATCAGTGTAACAGGAATCAGTGTAAAAGCAATCAGTGTAACAGCAATCAGTGTAACAGGAATCAGTGTAAAAGCAATCAGTGTAACAGGAATCAGTGTAAAAGCAATCAGTGTAACAGCAATCAGTGTAAAAGCAATCAGTGTAACAGCAATCAGTGTAACAGCAATCAGTGTAAAAGCAATCAGTGTAAAAGCAATCAGTGTAAAAGCAATCAGTGAAACAGGAATCAGTGTAAAAGCAATCAGTGTAACAGGAATCAGTGTAAAAGCAATCAGTGTAACAGCAATCAGTGTAAAAGCAATCAGTGTAACAGCAATCAGTGTAACAGCAATCAGTGTAACAGGAATCAGTGTAAAAGCAATCAGTGTAACAGGAATCAGTGTAAAAGCAATCAGTGTAACAGCAATCAGTGTAACAGGAATCAGTGTAAAAGCAATCAGTGTAACAGGAATCAGTGTAACAGGAATCAGTGTAAAAGCAATCAGTGTAACAGGAATCAGTGTAACAGCAATCAGTGTAACAGCAATCAGTGTAACAGGAATCAGTGTAAAAGCAATCAGTGTAACAGGAATCAGTGTAACAGGAATCAGTGTAACAGGAATCAGTGTAAAAGCAATCAGTGTAACAGGAATCAGTGTAACAGCAATCACTGTAACAGCAATCAGTGTAACAGGAATCAGTGTAAAAGCAATCAGTGTAACAGGAATCAGTGTAACAGGAATCAGTGTAACAGGAATCAGTGTAACAGCAATCAGTGTAACAGCAATCAGTGTAACAGCAATCAGTGTAAAAGCAATCAGTGTAACAGCAATAAGTGTAAAAGCAATCAGTGTAACAGCAATCAGTGTAACAGCAATCAGTGTAAAAGCAATCAGTGTAAAAGCAATCAGTGTAAAAGCAATCAGTGAAACAGGAATCAGTGTAAAAGCAATCAGTGTAACAGGAATCAGTGTAAAAGCAATCAGTGTAACAGCAATCAGTGAAACAGGAATCAGTGTAACAGCAATCAGTGTAACAGGAATCAGTGTAACAGGAATCAGTGTAACAGGAATCAGTGTAACAGCAATCAGTGTAACAGCAATCAGTGTAACAGGAATCAGTGTAACAGGAATCAGTGTAACAGGAATCAGTCTAACATGAATCAGTGTAACAGGAATCAGTGTAACAGCAATCAGTGTAACAGGAATCAGTCTAAAAGCAATCAGTGTAACAGGAATCAGTGTAAAAGCAATCAGTGTAACAGGAATCAGTGTAACAGGAATCAGTGTAAAAGCAATCAGTGTAACAGGAATCAGTGTAAAAGCAATCAGTGTAACAGCAATCAGTGTAACAGGAATCAGTGTAAAAGCAATCAGTGTAACAGGAATCAGTGTAACAGGAATCAGTGTAAAAGCAATCAGTGTAACAGGAATCAGTGTAACAGCAATCAGTGTAACAGCAATCAGTGTAACAGGAATCAGTGTAAAAGCAATCAGTGTAACAGGAATCAGTGTAACAGGAATCAGTGTAACAGGAATCAGTGTAAAAGCAATCAGTGTAACAGGAATCAGTGTAACAGGAATCAGTGTAACAGGAATCAGTGTAACAGGAATCAGTGTAAAAGCAATCAGTGTAACAGGAATCAGTGTAACAGCAATCACTGTAACAGCAATCAGTGTAACAGGAATCAGTGTAAAAGCAATCAGTGTAACAGGAATCAGTGTAACAGGAATCAGTGTAAAAGCAATCAGTGTAAAAGCAATCAGTGTAACAGGAATCAGTGTAACAGCAATCAGTGTAACAGCAATCAGTGTAAAAGCAATCAGTGTAACAGGAATCAGTGTAACAGCAATCACTGTAACAGCAATCAGTGTAACAGCAATCAGTGTAACAGCAATCAGTGTAACAGGAATCAGTGTAAAAGCAATCAGTGTAACAGGAATCAGTTTAACAGGAATCAGTGTAACAGGAATCAGTGTAACAGGAATCAGTGTAACAGGAATCAGTGTAACAGCAATCAGTGTAAAAGCAATCAGTGTAACAGCAATCAGTGTAACAGGAATCAGTGTAACAGCAATCAGTGTAACAGGAATCAGTGTAACAGCAATCAGTGTAACAGCAATCAGTGTAACAGGAATCAGTGTAACAGGAATCAGTGTAACAGCAATCAGTGTAACAGGAATCAGTGTAACAGGAATCAGTGTAAAAGCAATCAGTGTAACAGCAATCAGTGTAACAGGAATCAGTGTAACAGCAATCAGTGTAACAGGAATCAGTGTAAAAGCAATCAGTGTAACAGGAATCAGTGTAAAAGCAATCAGTGTAACAGCAATCAGTGTAAAAGCAATCAGTGTAACAGCAATCAGTGTAACAGCAATCAGTGTAAAAGCAATCAGTGTAAAAGCAATCAGTGTAAAAGCAATCAGTGAAACAGGAATCAGTGTAAAAGCAATCAGTGTAACAGGAATCAGTGTAAAAGCAATCAGTGTAACAGGAATCAGTGTAACAGGAATCAGTGTAACAGGAATCAGTGTAACAGCAATCAGTGTAACAGCAATCAGTGTAACAGGAATCAGTGTAACATGAATCAGTGTAACAGGAATCAGTGTAACAGGAATCAGTGTAACAGCAATCAGTGTAACAGCAATCAGTGTAACAGCAATCAGTGTAACAGGAATCAGTGTAACAGGAATCAGTGTAACAGGAATCAGTGTAACAGGAATCAGTGTAACAGGAATCAGTGTAACAGGAATCAGTGTAACAGCAATCAGTGTAACAGCAATCAGTGTAACAGCAATCAGTGTAACAGCAATCAGTGTAACAGGAATCAGTGTAACAGGAATCAGTGTAACAGGAATCAGTGTAACAGGAATCAGTGTAACAGGAATCAGTCTAACATGAATCAGTGTAACAGGAATCAGTGTAACAGCAATCAGTGTAACAGCAATCAGTGTAACAGCAATCAGTGTAACAGGAATCAGTGTAACAGCAATCAGTGTAACAGCAATCAGTGTAACAGCAATCAGTGTAACAGCAATCAGTGTAACAGGAATCAGTGTAACAGCAATCAGTGTAACAGGAATCAGTGTAACAGGAATCAGTGTAAAAGGAATCAGTGTAACAGGAATCAGTGTAACAGGAATCAGTGTAACAGGAATCAGTGTAACAGGAATCAGTGTAACAGGAATCAGTGTAACAGGAATCAGTGTAACAGGAATCAGTGTAACAGCAATCAGTGTAACAGGAATCAGTGTAACAGCAATCAGTGTAACAGGAATCAGTGTAAAAGCAATCAGTGTAACAGGAATCAGTGTAACAGGAATCAGTGTAACAGCAATCAGTGTAACAGGAATCAGTGTAACAGCAATCAGTGTAACAGCAATCAGTGTAACAGGAATCAGTGTAAAAGCAATCAGTGTAACAGGAATCAGTGTAACAGGAATCAGTGTGACAGCAATCAGTGTAACAGGAATCAGTGTAACAGGAATCAGTGTAAAAGCAATCAGTGTAACAGGAATCAGTGTAACAGGAATCAGTGTAACAGCAATCAGTGTAACAGGAATCAGTGTAACAGCAATCAGTGTAACAGCAATTAGTGTAACAGGAATCAGTGTAACAGGAATCAGTGTAACAGGAATCAGTGTAACAGGAATCAGTGTAACAGCAATCAGTGTAACAGGAATCAGTCACTGATTTTGATAATAATATAATATATCATCTTTAAATCAGACTCACATAAAGGCCAGAGCGAGTTTAATGAAACGATATAATGAACTCGTTAAACAAAAGCGTCTCGTTTGCTTTGTCTCCACGGCAACAGGCCTGACGAAACGCTACGCCTGCTACAACATGGGCGATCAGGGCATCACTGTGGGATGCTGGGATACGTACCGCCACGACATCGACTGCCAGTGGGTGGACATCACCGACGTCACACCGGGAGACTACATCTTCCAGGTCAGAGGTCACAGAGTGTGTGTGTGTGTGTGGTAAGTATCAAGTATGATACTTGATTGCGGTGAGACTGTATGTGATTGGATGGAGCAGGTCATGTGACGTTCTTCATCTCCTCCTGTGTGTTTGACGCGATTACAGGGTGTTTCTGGGAAACACAGCCATGATTGAGGCTTGTTATTCTTGGACGTTCGCTCGCGGTCAGCTAAAGATGATCCTGCATGATTGCACAGTCATTCCAGAATCTTTCCGTTCCACGTTTGTGTCTCGTGTCCGTCTTACATCACTAGTTCCAGCAGGACTCAATTAAACCGTGATGAAGTTCAACTCAGTGCCACAAATTAGGCAGAAAACATAATATCCATGAACCCGTCTGTGTTTTTATGAGGCCGTATGTGGGATGGAAAAGTCATTAAAGATGAAGTGTAGTTTTGTGGTTCTCCATCTCGAGTGTGTGTGTGTGTGTGTGTGTGTGTGTGTGTGTGTGTGTGTGTGTGTGTGTGTGTGTGTGTGTGTGTGTGTGTGTGTGTGTGTGTGTGTGTGTGTGTGTGTGTGTGTGTGTGTGTGTGTGTGTGTGTGTGTGTGTGTGTGAAACGGATAAGTGAGTCCAGATGTGAGCATGTGTGTGTTCTGCAGGTGGAGGTGAACCCGTCTCTGGATATGGCCGAGTCCGACTTCCAGAATAACGTGATGCGCTGCCGGTGCCGCTACGACGGCGGGCGAGTGTACCTGTACGGCTGCCACGCGGGTGAGACTCACACTCACAGTGTTGGGGAAAGTTACTTTTAAAAGTAATGCATTACAATATTGTGTTACTCCAAAAAAAGTAACTAATTGGGTTACTTAGCTACTTTTAATGAAAAGTAATGTTGCGTTACTTTTGCTCACCTGGGCTGGGCTTGCTTGTTTGTTTTTTAATAACAACAAAAAAAGTTATATTTTTAGCAAATAAAAAAAAAAAAAAAAAAAATTCAAAGCAAATTTTGTTTTAGTTGAAAATGGTGTCGTGCAAACAGACCCTCAGAATTGTATCAGATGTTCCTAAATATGGAAGTTTGTTTTCGCCAAGGAATAAAAAAAATGTCAAAAGTAATTGTGACTTTTTATCTCAGAGTTCCAGGTTTATTTCTCACAATTTGAGAAATACGTCTGAATCGCAAAATATAATCTTCGAATTAAAAAAGGCAGTTGTTACTTTTTATCTCTTATTGTGTCTTAATTTATCAAATTGTGAGTTTATATCTTGCAGTTCTGAGGAAAAAGTCTGAATTGCGAAATATAAACTTACAATTTAAGAAAAACTTCGCAATAACCTTTTTTATTTTTATCCCGTGGTGCTTTCCATAGCTGAGTGCAGTTCTTGCAATTCAAAAAAGTTCGCAAATAATTTCGTAAGAACATCTTTTCTTCTTGCGTAGGAGTTTACAGGCTTATTACCATATTATTACCGTAATAACCATAATAAGAACACACAATATTCATTTGGCGATGTGTTTTAATGCGCTGATATGTAGTTCTGAATGCTGCCGAAAATATTGTAATTCTAAATTAAAAGCGAGGTCTGTATTCGAGTCACTTCACAGATCATTATTTACATTATTAATCACTTCAGAGAACTTGTGCGCTTCTCTATTAATAATAATATATATGTATCTATATGCTGTAATGTTTAATTATTAAACAACCTAATAAATTAATTAAGTTGGAGGTCGTTCTAACTTTAAGAGGTTATTTACGATGATTTTTTAAGAACATTGTTTTTAGGAATTCAGAATAGTTTTGTCTTTAGAAGAATCAAGAGCATTCTTTAGTTTTTGGGACTCAAGATATTCATAACTTTGTTCTGAAGCTCATGTTTGGTTTTCCGTCTCACAGGTGACGCCTACAGTGCCGAGGTAGAGGACCTGTTTGAACACCAGCGCCAGATCTCTAACAACTTCCTCTGATGAAGCCTGGGAGCGACAGGACTCGGGGTGGGCGGAGTCTGTGTGGTGGGCGGGGTCCCTGGGGTGGGCGGAGTCTGTGTGGTGGGCGGGGTCCCTGGTGTGGGTGGAGTCTGTCTGGTGGGCAGAGTCTGTGGGGTGGGCGGAGTCCCTGGGATGGGTGGAGTCTGTGTGGTGGGTGGAGTCTACGGGGTGGGTGGGGCTAGTGTGATGATTGACAGCAGGGGCGTTCACAGTTCACTCACCTGTTCACTTGGCCAGTATTGATGCTGTTGGTGAATTAGAAGAACTTCCTGCAGTTATGATGATGAGTATTGAGTCTTCATCACACACTCAAGATTCAGGGGAAGACGAAATGTTAAAAACTCTAATACTGAACATCAGGCGTGAACATTCACTACATTGTTTTCAAAGTAAACTTATAATTGAAAATGTCCTTCAAATGTGCCGTTCTTCCTGCTTCTTGTGCTCGTTATTTTCATATTGTATTTCACAGGTGATTTTTTTTTTTTTTTTTTTTTTTTATCAACAAGGGCGACTTAAAAGTGTTAGATTTAACTAAATAAAATGAAAAAAAGGATATACATTAAAATCATATTTTCCCCTTTAATAAGTATTGTTTTTATTGAAGAACAAAGTTCAATACTACCAGTTTGTGTTAATTAAAGAGGTTTTATAATAATATCTGAAGGAGAAGTTGAGAATCATCAGAAACATCATGTGTTCCTCGCGCCACTGGTGCTGATTTAGTGCTCATTTAGTCTTTAATATTATTATGCATTATTATTATAATTATGAGTGGCTCAGATGCTGAGATGTTGGGTCACATGTACAGGTTTATGGCTCGAGGTTCGTCTGTGTCTCTCAAACACTCTCTCGGCCGGGCGAGTTTCACAGATTGTGCTTCAATACTTGAAAAATAAACTTCTCATGTCTAACACAAGAAATCTGATGTTTCGTACTGTATGTACTGTATGATAATAAACAACGACTGACTTCAACTGTGTCCGACTTTACACATAAAGCCACACTGACTCATTGGTTTAATGAGAAACATGAACATGACGAGTCTCTGTAAAGGGGATCTGATCTTCATAAAGACCCTGAAAGTGATTCGCTTCATTCCTGACACGATCATACGCAGATATACAAGACAGCCGTACTTATCACCGAGACTGTGCAAAATTAAAATTACATGTGTAAAATAACCGGTTATTATTACATCACTGTTTTTTTACTTGCTTATTTAGTTACTTAGTTTAATCTTATTTCTATTTATTTATTTTTACATTTTACACTGATTTTCTTATTTTAAATCAAGTTTTATTCATTTAGTTGTATCAAATTTATATCATTTAAATACAATTTTATTTATTTAAATCAAATATTTAAATCAATTGATTTGAATATGATGTATTAATTTATTTAAATAATTTGTTATTTTAATTTTCAATTAAATAGATTTATTCAAATAAAATGATTGTTTATTTATTTGAAATAATTTATTTTAATCAAATGTTTATGTGTGTAAATAAAATGTTAATTATTTTAGATTGTATTACTTTAATCAACTTGATTTATTTACATAAAAGTATTTTATATATATTTTATTTAATTCAAATCCATTTATTTTAATCTCATGTAGATATTTTTATGTATTTATTTAAATACAATGTTGATTTTATTTTTTACTTTAATCAAATTGATTTTTTAAATAAAGTATTATTATTTAATTTTGTTTATTTAAATATTTTAGTTTATTCTAATCAATGTATTTTAATCTAATGTATTAATTTATTATGTATTTTGTACATTTATTTAAATATATTTAATCAAATCAATATTTAGTTTAATTATATTTTGTACAGTGTTTCCGCTGCGCGTCCACCGACCCTCTAGCGCCCCCTCGCGGCCACTGGCGCACGTGCACCTGTAATAACTCCGCGTGCGCGCGCGCTTATCCACGCCCCCTCGCTTTCTGTAGCGCTTCCGGTGTCGATGTTGAACTGCTTCAGTTTCTACACTTTTGTGCATTTTTAGTGTGTTTTTCCCCGAGAGCAAACGCGACATCGCTGGTCTTCGTGATGTCCGTGTAGCGCGAAGCTGTCGTCGAGTTCTGTCGCCTCCTCCGGACAGGAAGTTTGCGTGTTTCCCACATATCTTGATGTTTTACCTCAGCGATGTTGAACTACACACAGACCCGCGGAATCCTGGCTGTACTGAGTTTATTCTGCGCTGATTCCTGCTCGGGATGGTTTCAAAACAACGGGAAGAAGAGCAGCAGGAGCCCGCAGCAGGAGCCCTCGGACAGCTGCCTGTGTCATGTACGTGTACCCCATGCTACGACTACAATAAAAACACACTATTAGCGTTAATACGTCTGTTTTTCATGTAGTTACAGTAGTATTTCTGGCATGTTCTTCTGTCGCGCGAGTGTGACGTCATCGCGTCCGCAGTTCGTTGCGGTTTTCTGTTTAAAGTTAGACGTGTTGGTGTAGCTTAATGATGTATTATCTTATTACTTTCATTGCGTGCAAAGCGTTTATTTCGCACTGTCTGTGTGGCTGCCAATGATATCAATAGAAAAATATGTCTAACATATCACACAAAAAATCAGGCTCGGATATTTTGTTTTCTTTATTTTTTTCCAGATGTTAATCCAGAATTTTTATTAATAGGCATTATAAAAAGAAATTATTATAATGATAAGTTTAGTTAATTTAAAAACCTCGAAAACGAATAATAAAGGTTAGAGAGCACACAGTGTAAAGCGACATACATTTAAAATACGTTGGAAACCGCTTCTGTTATTCAGCGTGGTGTTCTCCCATTGGTCCGCCGGGTGCGCTGACGTCAGCGGGGTTGTGGGGTTTGTAGTCTTTCCTCGCTCCCGGACGCGTTGACAGCAGCGCTGAGCGCGCCCGCGGAGAACTACAGCGCGGCGCGCTTGTGGATGACGTGTGTTTGTTTGGAGGCGGGGCGAGCGGCGGAGTTTCCACGCGGTAGTTCGAGTTTGACAGCTCATCTCTAGAAACACTGAGAAACACTCAGCACTTACTCAACATTTACTCAAGGCATGTCTGTTTTAATCCCGTCTCTGTTTGTTTTGGGACTTTTGCATTCAAAACAGCCGCAGGTCAGATGCAAATATGCTCTATTTATAACCACCACATTATTATTTTAAATTATTTAATTTTTTACTTATTTGTTTAATTTTTTTTGCTGCTTGGTTTTCTAGACATGTCTTCTGTGTTCTGTATTTCAAATTCTGTATTTTCAAATGTAATGAAGTATAGGCTTTGATTATGAACGTGAGGACAGACTCTTGTGTTGTTCAGTTATTATAATAATAATGATGAAGTGTTTGTGCAGCTGACCGGTGTGCTGGACGACTGCTTCTGCGACATCGAGAGCATCGACGTCTTCAACAACTTCAAGATTTACCCTCACGTCCTCAAGCTCACCGAGAGAGACTTCTTCCGCTACTACAAGGCGAGTGGAGATCCGGCTCAGGCTTCGTCTGTGTGGGGGATAGGTGGATTCATGTTAATGTGTGTGTGTGTGTGTGTGTGTGTGTGTGCAGGTGAACCTGAAGCGCCCGTGTCCGTTCTGGCCCGATGACGGCCATTGCTCCATCAAAGACTGCCACGTAGAGCCGTGCCCAGAGGTCAGAGGTCAACACCAGGCCAATCACAGGCTGATCTGGTTAATGCCAGCGAGATCATTGTGTTTTATTTGATTTCTCTAGAGGTTTGATTATCGGTTTCATTTCTTCCAGAGTAAAGTTCCTGTAGGAATTAAATCCGGCAACTATAACAAGGTGAGAGACTTCCAGCTGAACGTGTGTGTGTGTGTGTGTGTGTGTGTGTGTTCAGCATGTGACCCGTGTGTGTTTGCCGCAGGTGTGGGTGTGTGTGTGTGTGTCAGGTTGTTTGTTTGTTCAGCATGTAACCCGTGTGTGTTTGCCGCAGGTGTGTGTGTGTGTGTGTGTGTGTGTGTGTGTGTTCAGCATGTGACCCGTGTGTGTTTGCCGCAGGTGTGTGTGTGTGTGGGTGTGTGTGGGTGTGTGTGTGTGTCAGGTTGTTTGTTTGTTCAGCATGTAACCCGTGTGTGTGTTTGTGTGGGTGTCAGGTTGTTTGTTTGTTCAGCATGTAACCCGTGTGTGTGTGTGTGTGGGTTTGTGTGTGTGTCAGGTTGTTTGTTTGTTCAGCATGTAACCCGTGTGTGTTTGCCGCAGGTGTGTGTGTGTGTGTGTGTGTGTGTGTGATCGAGATATGTGTCTGATAATAACTCATCATGAGACTGAATCACTCTTATTTTATCATCACTATTATAGTTTTTATTAATATACTGAATCAGTTTTTTGGTTTTATATTTCCCCTTTTCATTTGAATTTGTTTAAACTAATTTATTTAGTCATTTTTAAGAGTTTTTTAAATATATATCTATGTAGTTTTTATTAATTTTTATTTCAGTTTTAGTTATTTTAGTTGATCAAGTTAAACTAAATTAAAATGAGAAATGTTGCTTTGGCAACTAGCTGAAGTAAAATAAGTCAAGTAACAAAACAGTTTTTTATGGTTTTAGTTAAACTGTAATAACCCTGTGCTGAATTAATCTGATTCACATTGACTTTATTAATAAATTAAGGCTCTGACTGTCAATAATCAATTGTGATTTTTAGAGCTGTCAAATCGATTAATTGCGTCTAACTTAAGTTTGTAGATATTAGGGGTGGAACGGTACACAGAAGTCACGGTTCGGTTCATACCTCGGTTCAGACATCACGGTTCGGTACGATTTCGGTACAATGGAGGGAAAAGCAAAACAAAAATGCAGAAGGCATTGTATTGTTTAAATTTTTATAAAAGTTGTATTAATAAAGGCTTAGAACCAGTTTATTTGTAGTGCACTGACAATAGTTTTATATAATTAGTTTATTAAATTAATAAAAAGACAAAAAGACCTTGCGATATGTTTGGTAATTGTACCAGAATTTAAAATTATTTTGCTATATTTCAGATCAATTGATTTGTTTTCCTTAATTTTAATTAACATTATTAATTAATGTAACATTATTCTCATCTGAATTATAAATAATTGATTTCTGTATAAAATAATACTACCATTAAAAACACATTCGATTTTCTTTTTTAATCAATGTAGAATGTGTAAGATTAGTGCTCCGAGGACGAGAAATGAAAACCAATGCAATATGACGAATGTCCAAAAGATGATGGGACCCACAGACTGTTTTGAAATGGAGTTGGATAAATATGTTGTGCTCTTAAAACAGTGTGTGTGTGTGTGATTTTGGTTGGGTGACAGTTGTAGTAGCTTACACTTTGACAAGAGTTTACAGTGTGACAAAAGCACAATGTTGTGTTTTATTGCGAGTGTACAAAAAAATAAGTAAACACAGCGGTTTAATGATCTGTGTGAACAAAATGACGGAGTATGTTTTTTATGTTTCCACTGTTCGATCGCGCTCATGCCTCTCTCTCTCTCTAGCGCGCGCACACACACACACACACACTCCAGCATTGCAATCTTGACATCGCAGCCTTCATTATGCGGTCACACCAAACGCGAATAGAGTGTCAAATTCGCGTCTATCGCGTTTAGTTCGACGCTAGTCCAAAGCGAATAGGACGCGCGTATAAAGCCAACGTTTGAAGTGAACGCGCGTTCAGAGCCGATGGTACAGATTATGTGTCCCTAAAGAACCCGCGTATCTAACGGTAGTTCCGCATTGCATTAATTAATTTGCACGCGAGTTTTATTTATTTTTATACCGTGTATTCTCCGTGTAAATTCGTGCACCGAACCGTGACGCCCGTACCGTTTCGGTTCGGTACGAATACATGTACCGTTCCACCCCTAGTAGATATATACATGTGTAGCTTATATATATATTTATCATTTTGTCCCATCATCCTTTGGCTGCGTCACATGATCATGCCATCATTCATTCAAGTATTAAACCATTCAAGTGTGACTCTGAACAAACACCCGGAACAAGCAAACAGACTGCAGATTCACACACACACACACACACACACTAGCGGTGGAACGGATCACCAAACTCACGGTTCGGATGGCTGCGGTTTTAGAGCCACGGATCGGATCATTTTTCTGATCAGCAGAAGAAGAAAACATTTATATATATGCATATAGACCTTATGCACCAGAGAAACGTGGGCGCCGCCATCTTTAGAATATTGTCTTTGAACGTCCGTTTCTGCGGTCGCTCTGTATATTGGCATCGCTGTCCAGGAGTAATTAGCCGGTGAAGTGGATTTACTTATTGTAGAGTTAACAAAAGGGATCATGAGCATTGTAAAGCAGATGTCTTAACAAATGTCGACCGGGACATTTTTTACGAGCGGTTCATTCATACCTACGCAAGATCGCTGTGAAAATACAGACCGGAAGACAAAAGACAACGAGTGCAGCGCTGAGAAGGGGCGGGGCTACATAAGGTCTATACAGTATATATATAAGGTATAGAAATTAATAATTGAGCCTAAATGTAAAATAACACTATTTGTTATCATACTCAACTCATTTATTACAATTAGTTCATGTGAATAATAATAATAATAAAAAGTTCATGTGAAGATTGTTTTAAGTTCACTTCAATTAAAAGTTGTTATAGTTGTTAAATCAAATCACACAATAAAAAAGCTATTATTATTATTTATTTTTTTTAAATTAAAAGTTGATATATATTTTTATAAGTCTAATAAAATGTGTGTGTGTGTAACGAGTGTGTAATGTGTGTGTGTGTAACGTGTGTGTGTAACGTGTGTGTGTAACGAGTGTGTAACGCGTGTGTAACGAGTGTGTAGCGCGTGTGTAGCGCGTGTGTAACGAGTGTGTAACGAGTGTGTAGCGCGTGTGTAACGAGTGTGTAACGAGTGTGTAGCGCGTGTGTAGCGCGTGTGTAACGAGTGTGTGTGTGTAGCGAGTGTGTAGCGAGTGTGTAGCGCGTGTGTAGCGCGTGTGTAACGAGTGTGTGTGTGTAGCGAGTGTGTAACGAGTGTGTGTGTGTAGCGAGTGTGTAACGAGTGTGTGTGTGTGTGTAGCGAGTGTGTAGCGCGTGTGTAGCGAGTGTGTGTGTGTAGCGAGTGTGTAACGTGTATTCCTCCTCTAGTTTTCTCAGGCTGGCGCTGGCGCTGGCGTCCTCGACTGTGAACAGGCTCATGAACTGGGCGCCATCAACAACACACTGAGGTAACGCACACACACGCACACACGCACACACACACACGCACACACACACACACCCCAGCACAGGCACTAAAACAGTGTTGTGTGTGTCAGTAATCAGAGTAAAGAGGCGTTCGCAGACTGGGCTCATCACGACGACGCTCAGGACCACTTCTGCGGGTTAGACGGTGAGTGGATCATCAGTGCTTCTGTCAGTCTCACAGGAAGTGGCTCTCGTCTGTAATAATCTGCAGATCTCAGTCGGTATTTATAGCACTTCATCGCTCTACATTCTCTTTCCTTTATTTCAGCTCAAATGAATTTATGTCCATGTGTTTTGTAAGAAGCCATGATATTTATCAGTATTTAGTAGCTATGCAAACCTTACTGGTGTGTGTAGACAAGAACTGGTGTGTGTGTGGATGAGAACTGGTGTGTGTAGATGAGAACTGATGCTGGTTCTGGTGTGTGTGGATGAGAACTGATGCTGGTTCTGGTGTGTGTAGATGAGAACTGATGCTGGTTCTGGTGTGTGTGGATGAGAACTGATGCTGGTTCTGGTGTGTGTGGATGAGAACTGATGCTGGTTCTGGTGTGTGTAGATGAGAACTGATGCTGGTTCTGGTGTGTGTGGATGAGAACTGATGCTGGTTCTGGTGTGTGTGGATGAGAACTGATGCTGGTTCTGGTGTGTGTAGATGAGAACTGATGCTGGTTCTGGTGTGTGTGGATGAGAACTGATGCTGGTTCTGGTGTGTGTGGATGAGAACTGATGCTGGTTCTGGTGTGTGTAGATGAGATGTCTCCTGAGGCCGAGTACGTGGACCTGCTCCTGAACCCGGAGAGATACACTGGATATAACGGCCCGTCCGCCTGGAGAGTCTGGAACAGCATTTATGAAGAAAACTGCTTCAAGTGAGACACACACACACACACACACACACACACTGCTCTTCTGTGGTCTTAAAGAGCTCGTATTATGACCTTGATGTTGTTTTTAATCTCTTCTAGAACTTGAATGTTGATTATTCTCCTCATATTCTCCATTGTTGCGGCTCCTCTCTTCCCAGTCTGTCAGTAACGCTCTGTTCACTTCCTGTCTCTATGAAGCCCCTCCTCCTGAAAGCACACTGTGCTCTGATTGGTCGGCTGGAGCAGTGTGTTGTGATTGGTCGAGCGCTTCGAGTGTGTTTGGGAAATGCCCCGCCCCTTTCCATAACCGCCAGTTTAACACACTACTAACTAACTCAGCCAGGCCCCGCCCCTTTATTCTGCGTATGAATTATTATAATGAGGAATATTGTGACGTGTTCGAAACTCAAGACTAATGGAGGCGTTTCAGGAGTTCAGGAACACTGATGCTGATATAGAGGAGGACTGGAGCTTCTCATGATCACACACTGAAGAACTGGGAAGCAGAATATCTCCTTTAACATGATTTTATTTTGTCAATGTTTGATGTTTCAGGCCGAGATCAGTGTATCGTCCTCTGAACCCTCTGGCTCCCAGTCGAGGTGCGTGCCATTCTCTCACCTGTGCTTTGAGTTCGACACACACACACACACACACACACTTATCACGTTACAGCCGTAGATCTAACCCGACCTGTCTCTCCTCTTAGGTGATGATGATGGTGAGTACACTACCCATGATGCTCTGCTCTCAGATCAGTGTAGATGGCTCTTGCTGACGCCGCTTTAACTCTGGCTCTCGTTCTCTCGCAGGCGAAGGCTTCTACACATGGCTGGAGGGTAAGCCATGATTTACACTGGAAATATGAAGAAAACACAGTCAGGCTCTGAACCGTCCTGCTGTTCTGCTTCTGTTATTGACTGTTATTAGTACTTAATGACTAATCTCCTACTGAGAAGCAAATGAATCGTGTGTGTGTGTGTGTGTGTGTGTGTTCAGGGCTGTGTTTGGAGAAGCGTGTGTTCTACCGTCTGATCTCCGGCCTCCACAGCAGCATCAACATCCACCTGTGCGCAGAATACCTGCTGGACGGTGAACACACACATTTATCACACAAATGCTCATTACCAACTAATCGAAATCCAATCTTACTAATGAAGTAACTAGCATTCCACTCTAACTTTGGTTACTATAGTATTTTTCGTATGGATGCTCTGAACTAGTGTTTTTATTGTCGGCAAATGAAAATATTAAATTGAAAATGAACAGCTCGTCTCTGGATCTGTGACTCGCTGCGTCCACATGCACAGCTTCTGTTCCAGTCGGACTGAACTCAAGCCGATTGATGAATCTGAGTGTAGCGTAGCATGAGCGCTGAACATGTGATCGGGTCGGTGTGTGTGTGTGTGTTCCTCAGAGGGCTGGGGCCGGCCGGTGTGTGTGTGTTCCTCAGAGGGCTGGGGCCGGCCGGTGTGTGTGTGTGTTCCTCAGAGGGCTGGGGCCGGCCGGTGTGTGTGTGTAAGTGACGTGTGTGTGTGTAAGTGACGTGTGTGTGTGTGTGTTCCTCAGAGGGCTGGGGCCGGCCGGTGTGTGTGTGTTCCTCAGAGGGCTGGGGCCGGCCGGTGTGTGTGTGTGTTCCTCAGAGGGCTGGGGCCGGCCGGTGTGTGTGTGTAAGTGACGTGTGTGTGTGTAAGTGACGTGTGTGTGTGTGTGTTCCTCAGAGGGCTGGGGCCGGCCGGTGTGTGTGTGTAAGTGACGTGTGTGTGTGTAAGTGACGTGTGTGTGTGTAAGTGACGTGTGTGTGTGTAAGTGACGTGTGTGTGTGTGTGTTCCTCAGAGGGCTGGGGCCGGCCGGTGTGTGTGTGTAAGTGACGTGTGTGTGTGTTCCTCAGAGGGCTGGGGCCGGCCGGTGTGTGTGTGTAAGTGACGTGTGTGTGTGTAAGTGACGTGTGTGTGTGTGTGTTCCTCAGAGGGCTGGGGCCGGCCGGTGTGTGTGTGTAAGTGACGTGTGTGTGTGTGTGTGTTCCTCAGAGGGCTGGGGCCGGCCGGTGTGTGTGTGTAAGTGACGTGTGTGTGTGTGTGTGTTCCTCAGAGGGCTGGGGCCGGCCGGTGTGTGTGTGTAAGTGACATGTGTGTGTGTTCCTCAGAGGGCTGGGGCCGGCCGGTGTGTGTGTGTGTGTGTGTAAGTGACGTGTGTGTGTGTGTGTGTTCCTCAGAGGGCTGGGGCCGGCCGGTGTGTGTGTGTAAGTGACGTGTGTGTGTGTTCCTCAGAGGGCTGGGGCCGGCCGGTGTGTGTGTGTAAGTGACGTGTGTGTGTGTGTGTGTGTAAGTGACGTGTGTGTGTGTTCCTCAGAGGGCTGGGGCCGGCCGGTGTGTGTGTGTGTGTGTGTGTAAGTGACGTGTGTGTGTGTTCCTCAGAGGGCTGGGGCCGGCCGGTGTGTGTGTGTGTGTGTGTAAGTGACGTGTGTGTGTGTGTTCCTCAGAGGGCTGGGGCCGGCCGGTGTGGGGTCCAAACCTGCAGGAGTTCCGCCAGCGCTTCGACCCGGCCGAGACCAAGGGCGAGGGGACGCGGCGCCTGAAGAACCTGTACTTCCTGTACCTGATCGAGCTGCGCGCGCTCACCAAAGTGTCCCCGTACTTCGAGCGCTCCTTCATTAACCTGTACACGGGGAACAGCGAAGAGGACTCGTCCACCAAAGCCCTGCTCCTGCAGATCCTCAACGTCACCAAGTGAGACACACACCCGACACAGCTTGTGGAGACCCCAGGCAAAGTTACAATATATTGTGAAAAGGTTTCCATAAGCTGTAATCCATAATCATCTAAATTATAACAAATAAAGCCTCAAAATATCCCACTCTGCATGTAATGAGTCTATATAATATATTAGTTTCAGCTTTTAAGTTGAATTACTGAAATAACTTGCAACTTTGCACCATATTCTCATTTTTTGAGTTTCACCTGTAAATATTGACACTTCAATAAATTAATTTATAGTCGCATTGCAGGACTATTGAAAAAACTGCAGTCTCTATTATACATTTGATTATGTGTGTGTGTGTGTGTGTGTGTGTGTGTTGCAGAGCGTTCCCCATGCACTTTGACGAGAGCTCCATGTTTGCTGGACATAAAATGGAGGCGAAGACATTAAAGGTGAGTGACAGCTGAGCAGAGCCGTGGGTCGAGTCCGTCTCGTCCTGCAAGTCGTCAGTTATTCTCATATCAGATTTGCATGGAGATTAGCATGGAGATTTGCATGGAGATTAGCATGGAGATTTGCATGGAGATTAGCATGGAGATTAGCATGTGCGTTTGCATACATCGGCTCGCGTGTGATTGGCGGATGAACTGTGTACGACTGGAAGCACTGGAAGAGAGAGCAACTCTCTGAGAAAACAAAGGAAATGAACATTTGAACTCTCTCTTGTGAAGTCAGCATCACCATTTGACACGCACTCTCCCCCCAGAATGCATCTCTTCCCCGCTCCCTCTCTCATCACATCACCAAACTACACCGACAGATTAATGTGAATAATGATCATACAGTATTACACATGTTCGGTATCATCATAAATGTCTGCGACTGGTGATTCCTCCTCCGCGTTTCCTTGCCCTTGAACCGACACACACACACACACACACACACAGTCATGTCTAAGCGTCTCGGCGAGTATTCTCGGTCTGTCGTGAGTGCCCAGAGAAACCGGATGTGTGTCGGGTTATTCGGTCTTAAAGTGACGGCGGCCTCATATTCCTGTCTGTGTCAATGTTCATAAACCCACTAAATACAGCTTTAACAACGATAAAACTTTCATTTCTACAGTGAACAAATAGTGTTATTAAACATTTAGGCTCCATTATTAATTTCTGTACCTGAATACTGTTAGACTTTGTAACTTTATTATTTAGTATTCATGTCCTGTAATTAATCTCGCTTGTTCTTATTTTATCACTGACCGCTCACTTGTTTTAATAATGTGTGAACTTTATCAGTTAGGCTAGTAGTAGTTTTGTCAAGTGAAGTAAATGAAAAGCAAAGTCCCCCCCCCCCCCCCCCATATATATATATATATATAAATGTTTTCTTTTTTTGCTGATCTGAAAAATGATCCGATCTGTAGCTCAGAAACCGCAGCTGATCCGAACCGTGAGTTTGGGGATCCGTTCCACCGCTAGATGTCCGTAAACTAACTGTTGTTTTCACGGCAGGTCGTCAGCGAGTGTGTGTGTGTGTGTGTGTGTGTCTCGCTCAGTAAAGAGCGCTGTCACTCATGTCTCTGCAGGAGGAGTTCAGGCTGCACTTCAAGAACATCTCCCGCATCATGGACTGCGTCGGCTGCAGCAAGTGCCGGCTCTGGGGGAAGCTGCAGGTAACCTGTGCTCTCCGGCGAGGGTTCTGATGATGTCAGAGGGGTGGGGTTCTGATGATGATGTCAGAGGGGTTCTGATGATGATGTCAGAGGGGTTCTGATGATGTCAGAGGGGTGGGGTTCTGATGATGATGTCAGAGGGGTTCTGATGATGTCAGAGGGGTCCTGATGATGATGTCAGAGGGGTCCTGATGATGTCAGAGGGGTCCTGATGATGTCAGAGGGGTTCTGATGATGATGTCAGAGGGGTCCTGATGATGATGTCAGAGGGGTCCTGATGATGTCAGAGGAGTTCTGATGATGTCAGAGGAGTCCTGATGATGTCAGAGGGGTTCTGATGATGTCAGAGGGGTCCTGATGATGTCAGAGGAGTTCTGATGATGTCAGAGGAGACTAACTCTCGCACACACACTGTTCCCACAGACGCAGGGTTTGGGGACGGCGCTCAGGATCCTGTTCTCGGAGAAGGAGATCAAAGACCTCCCGGAGAACAGTCCGTCAATAGGCTTCCAGCTGACGCGGCAGGAGATCGTGGCGCTGATCAACGGCTTCGCCAGGTGACGCCCGAGGAACTGATGAGCCGTGCACAGTTACACTAGGAGTGTGTGTTAAAGGGGTCGTCGATGCCCATTTTCCACAAGTTGTGTGATTCTTTAGGGTCTTCATGTAAAGTTTGTAACATATTTTGGTTCAGATTCCTCATGTTTGTGTAAAACAACACACTCTTTACCTCCTCAAACACAGCTCTGTTCACAGCGACCCGTTCCGGTGCATGTCTCTTTAAATGATAATGAGCTACTGCTCCCCCATGGGGCGTCTCGACACTATAGAGATATATACACTCACCGGCCACTTTATTAGGTACACCTGTCCAACTGCTCGTTAACACTTAATTTCTAAGCAGCCAATCACATGGCGGCAACTCAGTGCATTTAGGCATGTAGACATGGTCAAGACAATCTCCTGCAGTTCAAACCGAGCATCAGTATGGGGAAGAAAGGTGATTTGAGTGACTTTGACGTGGCATGATTGTTGGTGCCAGAAGGGCTGGTCTGAGTATTTCAGAAACTGCTAATCTACTGGGATTTTCACGCACAACCATCTCTAGGGTTTACAGAGAATGGTCCGAAAAAGAAAAAACATCCAGTGAGCGGCAGTTCTGTGGGCGGAAATGCCTTGTTGATGCCAGAGGTCAGAAGAGAATGGCCAGACTGGTTCGAGCTGATAGAAGGGCAACAGTGACTGAAATAACCACTCGTTACAACCGAGGTATGCAGCAAAGCATTTGTGAAGCCACAACACACACAACCTTGAGGCGGATGGGCTACAACAGCAGAAGACCCCTCCGGGTACCACTCATCTCCACTACAAATAGGAAAAAGAGGCTACAATTTGCAAGAGCTCAGCAAAATTGAACAGTTGAAGACTGGAAAAATGTTGCCTGGTCTGATGAGTCTCGATTTCTGTTGAGACATTCAGATGTTAGAGTCAGAATTTGGCGTAAACAGAATGAGAACATGGAACCATCATGCCTTGTTACCACTGTGCAGGCTGGTGGTGGTGGTGTAATGGTGTGGGGGATGTTTTCCTGGCACACTTTAGGCCCCTTAGTGCCAATTGGGCATCGTTTAAATGCCACAGCCTACCTGAGCATTGTTTCTGACCATGTCCATCCCTTTATGGCCACCATGTACCCATCCTCTGATGGCTACTTCCACAATGTCACAAAGCTCTAATCATTTCAAAATTGGTTTCTTGAACATGACAATGAGTTCACTGTACTAAAATGGCCTCCACAGTCACCAGAGCTCAACCCAATAGAGCATCTTTGGGATGTGGTGGAACGGGAGATTCGCATCATGGATGTGCAGCCGATAAATCTGCGGCAACTGTGTGATGCCATCATGTCAGTATGGACCAAACTCCCTGAGGAATGCTTCCAGCACCTTGTTGAATCTATGCCACGAAGAATTGAGGCAGTTCTGAAGGCAAAAGGGGGTCCAACCCGTTACTAGCATGGGGTACCTAATAAAGTGGCCGGTGAGTGTATATATATATATATATACAGTATACAGGTCCTTCTCAAAAAAATAGCATATTGTGATAAAGTTCATTATTTTCCATAATGTAATGATAAAAATTAAACTTTCATTTATTTTAGATTCATTGCACACCAACTGAAATATTTCAGGTCTTTTATTGTTTTAATACTGATGATTTTGGCATACAGCTCATGAAAACCCAAAATTCCTGTCTCAAAAAATTAGCATATTTCATCCGACCAATAAAAGAAGTGTTTTTAATACAAAAAAAAAAGTCAATCTTCAAATAATTATGTTCAGTTATGCACTCAATAGTCAATACTTGGTCAGGAATCCTTTTGCAGAAATGACTGCTTCAATGCGGCGTGGCATGGAGGCGATCAGCCTGTGGCACTGCTGAGGTGTTATGGAGGCCCAGGATGCTTCGATAGCGGCCTTAAGCTCATCCAGAGTGTTGGGTCTTGCGTCTCTCAACTTTCTCTTCACAATATCCCACAGATTCTCTATGGGGTTCAGGTCAGGAGAGCTGGCAGGCCAATTGAGCACAGTAATACCATGGTCAGTAAACCATTTACCAGTGGTTTTGGCACTGTGAGCAGGAGCCAGGTCGTGCTGAAAAATGAAATCTTCATCTCCATAAAGCTTTTCAGCAGATGGAAGCATGAAGTGCTCCAAAATCTCCTGATAGCTAGCTGCATTGACCCTGCCCTTGATAAAACACAGTGGACCAACAC